CCGGCGGCGAGACAAACTCAAACTACATCACCTACCGCAATTACGCCATCACCTCCATCGTCGGTCTCCCTGGTTCCATTCTGGCTTGCTGGACCGTCGAAATCAAGTACGTTGGTCGCAAGGGCACCATGGCCATTTCCACCCTGATCACCGGCGTGTTGCTGTTCTGCTTCACCGCATCCACAAACTCCGACATCCAGCTCCTGTGCAGTTGTCTCGAGGCCTTCTTCCAGAACATCATGTACGGTGTCCTCTACGCCTATACCCCTGAGACCTTCCCCGCCCCGAACCGCGGTACTGGCACTGGTATCTCCAGCTGCTTGAACCGCATTGCGGGTCTCTGTGCTCCGCTTGTCGGCATCTATGCTGGCAGTGCGAACCCCAACGCGCCTATCTATGCGTCTGGCGGGTTGATTCTGGCTTCCTTTGTCGCTATGTGTCTCCTACCCATCGAGACTCGGGGCAAGCAAACTCTTTAAGAAGAAGCAAGGGGTTGAATCTCCTGTTTCAGTGTGCCAAAACTGTCATGCATACTGTCGATTTTCACACAGCCTTCTGCTTGTGTTGGAAAGTGCAAGATAGGAACACGACTCAAAAAGGACAACACATCCATATATTACGGATCCGTCCCCTTGCCATTGCGATCTGAACGATTCGGCCAATGGATTGACTTGCTCAAAGCACTCGGGGGAATCTATGGACCGGATAGAGTGTTGTCGTCATATATTATAATCCAGTAACCATTAGATGGCTTCTGGACTTGAACATAGATACCAATCAAGATACCAAGTTTGTGTTTTTCCCTCTTAATTCCAAGTTGGATGTCCATGTTGTATTCTTTGCCATGTGAATCGCATCATGTGCTTGGCCTAGAAAAGTCCAATACCGGTCTATGTCTACATATACGGATGAAAATAGTCTCAAGGACTCAGGATATAAGAGATCATACCCCAATAGACCAGTGGCCAGGAATGGGTTCGCTGCATCCCCAATTGGAGACTGCTACCAAAAGAAGATTATATGAAAGACGTGAACCTTCCAAGGTTCCAACCTTGGAATATTGAAAAATATGCTTATTGAATCCTTAGCGAACATTGATAGACATACCTAGGTAACCCTAGCAAAAAGAGAAAGGAAAGAAAAGACCAGGAAGAACTCCGTTCCAGTCCAAGTAAGCTCCCCGAGAACTTAAGAGTAAGCGTAAAAGAAAACCCACTTCACCCATTTTTCCAATTGTGACTATGTAGCGTGCAGGTTCCTCGCCGGGACCGATCCGATAACGCGCAACGAGCTTGAAAAACCGAACAAAGAAAGTGAAAATGACGATGAGAAAAAAAACGCAGAGATATCTGTGAACATATCGCTCATCAACAAAGTGCAAAGAAGTTATGGAGACATCACATCATGACCCCGATGGAAGAAATACATCCTGTCTATGCCACCGGTTGATTACGACGGCCACGCTTCTCAAGCAATGTGGAACCGCTTAGAGTAAGCTCAAATGGCTGCTGATGCTTGCGGATAGAGGTCTTTGCAGCATTAGCGACATTGGCGTCATGCATACCGTAGCCCTGTTTGGGTTTTGTCTGGTTGGGTGGTTGCCGTGCCTGAGCAGCGCTGCTTTGCGCGCCGAGGTTCGTGGATCGGAGCTTGGCTTCCATCCCGGCCATATCCCCCTGGCTCTTGGCCACCTTGGCTGGTGGTTGGCCTCCGAGACCGTGGTTGTATTCAGGCTCGTCGTCATAATCTTCGTTGAGAGCACCCAGTGCCGACTGGAATCCTGCCGTGCCACCACGGTTGGCCTGGCGCGCAATCGCGCGGCGTTTTCCTTCCTCTTCTTGTCTGTGCACTGCGTAACCAACATCAAAGACTTCACGGAGGTTGAAAGCGCCTGGAGATCGGAAGTCCATGCGGCGCTCTGCTGCAACGGATGGTTGATCGAGGAAGCGGGCACTGGCGGGCTGGTAAGGCCCGTGTTCGGCGGCGGAGGAGTCGAGTTGGTGTGCGGCTTTCTCGGGGGTCTGGAGGTGGGGTGTTGCTAGAGGGGGTGCGTCTTCCGCGGCAGTAGTCTCCTCGTCGGTACCCTGTATCCAGGGGTGCGCGAGGAATTCCTTGATGGTGAACCGCTTTTCGGGGTCCACGGTGAGGAGATGCGAGATCAGATCCTGGGCCGACTTGGAAATATCATCCCACCAAGGTGACAAAAAGGTATATTGGCCGCGTGCCACCTTCTCGGTAAGGACTTGGATGCTCTCGTCATAGAACGGAGGGAACCCACAGAGGAGTGTGTAGAGAACACAACCCATGGCCCACATGTCCACACTTTTGGAGTAACGCTCATCCTTGACGATTTCTGGGGCTGTGTACCCGACGGTACCACAAGGCGTCATCGTCTGGCTATCCCAAATCACCTTGGATAGACCGAAATCTGCTAATTTGATCTTGCCGATACCACCCGCGCCAACTCCGGGGATGAATTCTCCCTCATCTTCTTTGTCTTCGTCCCCTGGCTGTTGAGGTTTCGGATTCTTGCTGGGAACGTGGGGAATTGGATAGAATAGGAGATTTTCCGGTTTGATGTCACTTCATAAAACTGTTAGCTTTCGCCAGACCAGATTTCTACTGACGGGGATGACAAACCGATGAACGACACCTGATGTCTCGTGTAGATATTCAATCGCTTCCGCAACCTGGCGAATGACGTGACGGCTAAGATTTTCGCTGAAATACGTCAATCGGACAATCTGGTGGAATAATTCACCCCCGGGGCAGAGTTCGAGGACGATGTAGTAATATTGCCGTGACTCGGAGAAATCGATCAATTTGACGACATTGGGGTGGTCAAGATTGCGCATAATCTGAACCTCTTTGAGAATATTTGCCCGCTGTAAAAAGACTAGAGTCAGCAATGACCAGGCAGGACGCGCAGCCACGCATATAGGCAGTAACATGTTATAGGGTAGCGTGTCGTTTCACCGACAGACACAAGTCATTATTGCCAGGAAGCAAGTCGAGTCAGGAAAGAATTGTTTGCGCACCTCCGCCGCCTTGGGGATCTTTTTGACCGTTGGATATTGAGGATCGTTCTACAGAACGTATTGGCCATGTTTATAGACATATTGCAACCCAAGTAACCACGAAGAAACGGAAACACAAAACCCACAGGGAAAATAAGAAAGGCACCTTGCGGCAGAACCTACCTGATTGCTATTCATTTCAAATTTGCGGACGACCTTGATGGCCACCTCGCCATATTCCGTTGTCGAATCCTTGGCACGATAGACGTTACTGAACGCGCCATCGCCCATCTTCTCTACCAAGATCCAGCGCTCTAAACCGGGGTATTTGGGCATCTTCGACCGGTTCATATTCTCCTCTGCGACAAGACGTTCGATTTCGACGGAGCGATCCTGTCTGACCTGAGAATCAGGTTTGTGGACGGCATTGGCTCGGCCTTCAGGGCCAAAAGCCTCGAGAGCAGGTGAATATTGCCCTATAGGTTGGCGTTGTGGCTCTGCATGGATGGTGGAGACGTCGGTGGTGGGCTCAGAATGAGGGGTGACAAGGCGGGCCTGCTTGCCATGCCGAATGAAATTCTTGATATTCTGTATTGTACTCATGATATCGAAGAAGAATCGTAATTCATAAGCAGATGTATTGGATGTCTTTCGGAGAAGAAAGGGAAACAGAGAGAGAGAGAGAGAAGAAGAAGAAGGATGGCGATTGAAGCAGGGATTTTTCAAGGTGGGAAGTCAGACAAGTTGAAGAATGAATTTCCCCACTGAAGGACTTTGTAAATCACAAAACAAGAGGAATAGAGAGAAAAGCAAGACCAGAAAGACTAGAAAGACTAGAAAGACACACAAATCAAGAGGGAAAAAAGGAGAAAGGAGATGATGGCGGGGGAGAGCTATGACGAAATGAGAGATCTTTCCCGATGTCATCTGCCAAGGCCAATGTCTTTTTCTCATCCTGGTTCGACCTCTCGGGACGTCATGAAACGCCACTGATCCACTGTAATCATCTATCTTCATTCAATGCTCGAATTTCTTCAATGAGTATCTGTTTAGGATACTTAGGATATTCTTTCTTTGGGGCCATTTATCCCCAGAGACCAGAGACCAGAGACCAGAGACCAGAGACCCCTGTCGACTCCTAACCTGTATAGGCCATTCTCTATTTTTCTTGGAATATTCCCAGACCACCTTATCAAGGTAATCTGTAACCTTTTTTTCCCTCATACAAAATGCTGGTTTGACCTGATTCCAAAAGCCTCGAAACCCTGGCTTGTGTGGGGATTGATATCGTCATCACCCGTTGCCACATGCTAGGACTCATTGGACCTGTACGGAGTAGGGATTCCGGATTCACGGATTCATGTGCTTTTATCCTATGATGATGTCTTATATTACCATTCTGAGAATATCCGCTAAGCGTCGAAGTCTCCTATTCGTACGGGGAGCCCCGAGATGGTGCGGATCTTAACCCTTCCCCGGAATGCTCCAACACCAAAGGCATGCCTTGGAAGTGAGGAGGGCGCATATAAGTATGAGACGGGGCCCTGTTTATGTATAACATAGAAGTCCCAGGAACATCCTGACATATTTGGCTCCACATGGCTATGTAGGTCAAGTCATATAAGAGAAACTGCTAAAAGAGTTCAATTGCATACAGCGTAGCCCTGGGGCCCCGGGCCCCGGGGGCGTATTGTGCTTAGTAACTACCCAGAAATTCCGGGCACCTGGGCAACCTTGGAAGGTTCAGCCCTCCAGCACGATATTGAACTTTCTTCCCTATTCGTTATGGGAATATCCATTTACGATGTACTCTAGGGCTCTAATGTCAGATTAAATCATTCATTTTCCTTCCCACCTAATTGTGAAACCTACCGTTCCATCGGATCTTGTACAACATAGGGCATACCCCAATTCCTGCCTGACCGCTTTAATTCTAGGTATTACCTAGGAGGAGTTTGTATAGATTATTGACATGGATAGCTCTTATCTGTCCGTGTGACCTCGCCATTCATCAACCCGTGTTATCCAATCACGAACAAGAGCTTCAAAAAGACCAGTCTCATCAATAGGAAGGCCATGCGTACCACGATCTAGAACAACATAAGTCGATCGTGGATACAACTCCAGCAAGCGAAGGCTGTCTCGATAACCCACGCTCTCGTCTTGCCGACCACACACAACAAGTGTGGGTGCGAAGAACTTAGCACTTTGATCGTCGAGCGAAAAGGATAACTGATATCGATGTGGATCTGCTCGGATCGGATCCAACACCTTATTGTCTGCTGCTTTCTCCGCTGGAAGGTAAACCTCCTCATATTTCGCCTTTAAAGCTTTAACGTAAGGCGGCGTTTGAACGAGAACATTTCCAAGATGTGCCTTGTCTTCAGCTGATATGTTCGACATGAGTTGCTCATTTGCAACCAAAGGTTTGAAAGCATCGAGATCGCGTACACTGTCCTTTGGCTCAATAAGCGGTACGCGTAATAGCAAACCATCGACTTGCTCAATATATTTTTGAGCTATCGCACGTGCAAGGTAGCCGCCACATGATGAACCGACAAGTAAGAATCTTGAATTCCCAAGTCGAGAATCAATGAATTGCACCAGGCGAAGGTATATATCGTCCAGATCCTTGACATTATTCGCGGGTGTTGCGCCCATGCCTGGAAGGTCCACATAAATCCGGCGAAGTCCCGGTGTTTTGTTGAAAATCGGCTCAAAGTCCACCTCCTCGGCTCTTCCTTCCATTTGCCATCCATGAATGATCAGAACGGGAAGCCCTTCACCAATTTCATGTGCAGAGAGAATAGATTCCATGCTGTTGCTGGGTAGTGGTTTTGTGAATATATGAGGAGCAGGAACCAGAGCAGTTGATTGCAGGTACAAATTGTCCAACCACAGTCACGCCATCTTATGGTGCTAACAGATTCTGGTCGCTTAGCTCAGTTTGCATGGAACATTCTAGTTTCTACTAGTAATCATAGATTCTTGTATCTTTCATTAGTCTGTACAGAGGTGGAAATTTACCCTAACCCTTATTGGATCTAGCGCACCGTATGGTTGGGGTCTGAATGAGTGTCTCAATATTTCCCGACATGGAAAGTGATATTGGGCGCCACAGTACAAGTATACAGTGGCTACGCAGACTGAATGGCATGAATAGATAATGGATGCCGAATAGAGGGTTTCTTAGGCTAGAAACGCAAACCCCATTCAAGTTTTCGAAAACTTACCGTCTTTACATTCTTGATATATTCGTACTACAATATCGGCTAGGTGTACCTTTTCAAATTAGTCAGGTCCCTTAAGCGGGACCAATAAGCAAGAGGATACAAAGCTTGATCTACCCAAGGGAAGACCAATCAAGCATAAAGGATCGATTTCAAAATTGCGAAATTTGGAATAAGAGCTAGAAATAGATGTGTTGTATGTAAGACCATGCATGCTACGAGGCACTGTTTAATTACTATTCTATGTATGCTGTGATATTATGATATGCCGTGCTGGACTGGGCTGCTTGGGATCTATAGTTCTTCATTTCTGAGAGCCCTGTAATAACGATGTGCATCTTAGGAATGTATGTATGTCTCGAGACCTGCATCAAGGGTCAACAAGGCAAGTAAGGGCTGTGGCAGAGCCATGAGATCACAGGTGACTTTACTCCGTGCGCCTGAGGAGTATTGACATCTCCACATGGTCCAAATTGTAGATGAGGTCGAGCATATACATCATACATTGTAGGACGCAGTAACCAACCAGTGGTTCACACTCAAACAATAGTATTAATAAGACCAACTCCAAGCCATGGCAAGATCGGAATGTGGGAGGGTCCTCATAGCTACTCCATAGAAGCTAGTGTGATGGATCTGCAGTGTGATCACCAGTGTGATCTCAATGAGATGAGGCCCCAAGGCATCAATATTACCTAAATAGGCAACAGGCGCTAAGCAGCGGGAAAGTGGCACGAAAAGCACCCTCTTCGTCATATTATTCAATCTTTCATGCGATCATTTTTGAACGCTATATTCTTCTTTAGTTCTTTTATCCTACGTTATTTGAATGATTATTCTTTATTATCTTTTACTTAGCTGAAACACGGAGATAAGAGGGCTTGAGACTGGACTCCCCAGCCACTCGCCAATATCGTCCATCCCCACCCTTACAGCTCACATTGCACAGAGACAGGTCGAGCTCGAGTCTTCATCTCTGAAAGGATATGCCTATGCCCCGTACTCCGTACTGAACCGTTGCTTGTCCTTCGTGGTGGACTCGAATGTACTTCGGACGATCAGCTCCCCCTGCATCATACAGAGACAAAGCAAAGCCTCTGGAACCGTTGACTTTGACTTTGACTATTGGTCGCATCTTGGTCGCGAAGTGCTCACGCGCAATGCGACCCCTGCGATACTCTGAACGAGACATCTTACTCCGTACTATGATACCCAAAGGTATCTAAACGTTAATCGAATTCACAAAAGCGACCGTGGATGCTCCAGGTTTCCGCGGGTGTGCTGTTTCCGATTTTCCGAGATGCCGGGCGTGGAAGTGATGGGGTCGTCGGAGGATTTGCAAGCATTCGAACGGCCGCTACTAAGGTCTCACAAGACGCTCCCTCGGCGGGGTGTAATCGTTCCTAGCATCGAAGTCGTCCAACCGGTCTCCCCGGATCAGAATGGGAGACATACTGCGACACCGTCGCTTCCCTTGACACCCCGGGTGCAGGCCACGAAGAACTCGTGGTTGACGAACAAACACAGAAAATGAATTCTTCTCTGTCAGACATACCAACATCTGGGATGTTAACCCCTCGCCGACCCTCTAAGCCTCCAACCCCGGATGTGACGCCTCCCCGAACGAACTCGAATAAGCGACCTACCTTGAACCAGTTTAATTATTTCTCCTCATCGTCTCGGGCTGATTCATTCCAAACGGCTTTGGAGAATATCTCGTCGGAAGAAGATATGGACACCCCGGTTCGCGTGTCTCAGACCACGACCCAGACACCAAAACAAAGGAGGCAACCGTCAAAGCCACCCGCTTCAAATGGATATTTTTCACACTTTCCAAATACAAAAGGGTCTCCGCCATCTGCTTCCCAACAGCATAGCGGAACCGAATGCGACACCGGATTCGAGTCTTTTGATGGGCATTGGGCCGCAAACCCGATCGATGGGTCGCCAACACCGTTAGCTGGAAAGCGCAAGTCTGCACAGAAACACACTCAATCAGTCTATAACAATCCAACACCCGGGAAAGATGCGCTGGATGTAAAGCACCTGGATGCCTCTTTGATGAAGGAGAAAAGTCTGCGAGACCGGGTCCATGGTGCGCATGAAGTCAAAGCAAGTACCTCAATGGAGCAGCCCCGTGGGAATATTGGGTCGCCATCACCGGATGGTCCAGCGGGATTTAGTGGACCAGATAACCGTCCCTTGTCGGTCATCTCCTCGGCATCCACTGTTGAGGCTATGATAATTGACTCTCCGAAACGAGCCCAGCGAATGCTCCGGCATACCGAAAAAAGAAGCTCTCTGCGGTCTGCCAGCTCTCCCATAACAAGATCTGAGCGTACATCTTATGGTTCCCTCGCTGAATCCCAACGCCGCCTGGTTCACAAGTCCGCTCGAATTTCTGACCAGGATGCTCGAAGCGGACCATCCGAGATGTCGTTCTCGGCCAAGACCAGCAACAGTGCAATACAACCCAATATCGAAACTATCAACGTGGTGGTCATACCGGAGAGAAGTTCATCTCTCAGCTCCCGTCCTAACAGCCATGTTTCTTCCAAACCGGGTTCTCATCGATCAGGCCGTCGTCCTCCGACAGCATCGACGGGCCACACAGATATCCAAAGGCAGAAGAAACGCACCGTCTCTGATTCAACGTCGACTCGATCTCGCGAGACAGATTCAAGGGTCTGTCCCACGGGACGGCCTGTCATTCCACCCCGGCGCTCATCGCTTTCTGCGCCAACAAGTCGGAACAATTCTCGCGCGAATTCTCTCACTTCCAACAGCCTGCGGAGTCGTCCCACCGAGCGCCCCGCCATACCACCCCGAAGCTCGTCGCTTTCTGCGCCAACGAGCCGGAACCATTCTCGTGCGACTTCCCTTACTTCCGACAGTCTACGAAGCCACGACTTAGCCATTGACCTCGAGATGCAAAAGCGTCGTGAGCATCAGCCGGTGTCCCCGCCTCGTCACAACGTTTTGGCTTCGCCTGACCGCCATAGCCTACTCGAACCTCCCAATATGCATGCCCTCTTTGCTAGCTCTGATGATATGGCCACCCTGCGTCCTCCATCTTTGCCTTTCACCCAAGGCTCGATTCCCTCGTCTTCGCCGGGACCTATCGAGATCCAGGAGGCTACAGCCGTTAGTCTGTTCGCGCACAACAATCACTCACTGCTGCTTGTTGACCCTCGAGTACAAGCCTCCTCGAGACGCCCTTTGCAAGCGCTTGGGATTTCTTATGATCTTCCCCAACCCCCTCGCACACCCGACAATCCATCGCAAATAGCAACGTTCGATATCGACTCGCCTTTAAAGAACCCTCGTCCTCCACCCAAGCCGCCATGCACCAGACGTCTTCCCCCGCTTCCATTACCTGACGTCCAGGATGAAAACAAGGGCCTCGGTCAACGATGGAATTCCGTCCGTCGTACTTGGAGCGCACGCGCTCGGTCGGATTCTTTCAACACTATAGCTCGGTCATTCTCCATGAAATCGGCCAAGAACCGAACTGCAGGAATGGAAATGGACAGTCGTCTTTATCCGTTTTGGCGGCCTCGCGGATTCTGGGAAGACATACCGGGGTCCCCGGAGAAGGAATCCTCGCCGACGCGGGAAGATTTACCGCACCCCGATGAATCCATGATCGTGAACAACTCTCTGGGTCTGCCCCAGCGGCGCATCGTCTTCGACGGCCCAGCAGCTCTGGCGCGGCGCAGCCCAGAAATGAAACGCCTGTTCAATGGAATGACCAGCAACGGTAGCTTGGTTGATCAAGGCATGTTCCGAACAGGATCCCCATTAAACCCAACTCCCTTCCGGTCTCTGCCTCGCTGGGGACTGCGGCTCCGGTCAATGTCATGGCGTAATGTGCGGAATCGCCTGCGACGTGTGCGCCAGCGACGAGACGAGAGAAAGCGGGCTGTCCGGAGGGAGATTCTCAAGCAGAGTATCGGTGGCCCTGTCTACGTGGCATCTAGTGCTACGGCCGAGGTGGCTATGAGATGACTTAAATGATGCCCTTTTCCATTTCATCTGATGTTATTCCCATATTTATGATTGGATATGTTTCACGCATTTCAAACACTTGTCCGACGATTTCACGATGCATTTGCTTTTTTGTTGTTTTTGGTTTCCCAATTGCTTCGATGCCCCGAGATGATCTTTTGATATGAGATCTATGATGATTATGAAACACGAACCCATGATGATGATTCCATTGTTTTTCTTCCTCTGTTGGCCTCTGAGATGTACCATTAGCTTGTTTTGTTTACTCATATCATAAATACATGTGTGAAGATCGAATTTACAGCCTGTTTATCAGTCCTGGACCGAATAAGGGCTCCCAAGCTGCCCCTTGCTTTCACGTCGTGCGACATAAGATGGTCTACGAAGCAATATCTATTGGCTCCAGGACTGGGTGTAAATGAGTTCATTGAAGTTAATGTATTAGTGTATGATGTATGAGCACACATCTGTATGTACTCTATGAAAGCAAGACCAAGTTAGCACCATATTACACTGGCCAAGAGATTTAAGAAAGATATTATTTGAAACGAAGCCTGGGTTGTATAAGGCAGCCAACTATTCAAAAGGTCATAACCTGGCCTGGTAACCAAGGGGTATCTAAATGCACATCCATTCTAAACCCATCAACTCAATGCCTACCACCCCAGTACACATTGCCCCTCCCCCTCCCCCTCTTCCCACGCCCACGTACACTTGACCGGCCCCGAATAGCCATAGACCCATACTCCGTCTCGCGCTCCACTCGTTGTCTCACCCGCTCTGCCGATTCATCTTCCCAATCCGCGCCCGAGCCCGATTCATCTTTTATTGACTGTGCTGCTAGTCTCTCGCGGCTGCGTTTGAGCATCGCTTCCCACGTCGGTGGGTCGAGGAAGGGCTGTGGCGGCATAGCGAATGAGACTTCAAAGTGCGGGGGCTGGAGCTCGTAGTCTTCGTCTCCAACTGCGCTTTTATTATGTTCGCTTGAACTCGCGGGCTTATTCCTTTCTTGAGTCTCCTCTTCGTATGATTGTTTGATGCTCGTCTCTGTGGGGATGGCGCTAGGATTGAGGACTTTGTATACTTTGCGGCCTTGCCGCTTGGTCTGTAAGGGTAGAAGAGCGCGTTTATGTGGGATTAGAAGAGATCGAGATTTCTTGGAGGAAGCTGATGAAGCCATGATTCCGATCCAACTTAGTGAGGTATGGAAAAGGATGAAGAGCCCTGGAGATGAAGTTGGAACAGTTGGAGATAAGCGGAGTTGAGCTCTTATCAGCTTATCGGATAGCCCTGGAAAGTCTCAACACGCCAAAGGTATCTTTCATTTTGACGCTATTAGCACTACATTATTGACGTAAATATGAATGTGTACCGGCCGAAACATGATAAGAATTCTACCTGCAACCAGACACCCGGTCCCCTTGAGATATCCCTACTAGCGCCGGCGCAGGGCAATCCTCAGCCCGAAGTTGGGCACATAAAACTCCTCGAACGAAAGCGAGCCAGTCAAGGGAAGAGAAGTCGAATTAGGAAGGAGTATGTCATACTGGCTCAGGATATGCGCGAAGGCGAGCTTCATGAGTGCGCTAGCCATCCATCGTCCAGGACTGCAAACACGAGCAAAAGTCAGCCGATACGAGGGCGGTTGGATTTGAAACCAGATCATGAAAATTAAAGCGCCAGCCAGAAATAAGACTTACCAGGCATGTGCACCCATTCCAAAAACCAGGTAGTCAGAGCTCAGGTCGACCAGCCGGGAGTCTTTGGCTCCACTTGCTGCACGCTTGACGAACCGGAAACCATCGAACGCGTCCGGGTTCGTATAGTGCTCGCTGGATCGTTGGATGATTCCGCTTGGGACGGCAACATGAGAGCCCTGCTTGAGTGTGATTCCTGTGCCATTCCATGATTGATCAGCTCAGTGTTTCCTTGGCCTGGTAGTGTGTGTGTAAGAACAAACCGTTAGAGAATTTGAGGTCACTAACACAGACCCGGTGGGCAGAGACTAATACCCATGTTAGTACATTAGCCATGCATGATTCCCATGGGTGGTCACATATAGACGTACGTGCTGAAGGGGGATGCAATCGCTGACACTCCTTCAAGAAGCTATCCATCAAGACCATGCCATCACAGGCTGGAACGGTTGGTCCCATTCTAGAGAAATTCAGATCAATTTCCTCGCGCAGGGGTGTGATATACTCAGGTCGTCGAGCTAGCTCAGCTAGGGCGCCGTAGAGTCCCTATTGGTTAAATTAGCAGATTGCAGGATTATGACATGCGCACGGAGTCACGGAGTACATACATAGGACGTCGTGTAGATAAAGGCAAATTGCAGAAGCAACATTTCGCCTATCACCTCTGCATATGTCCATCGCTCCCGAAGGACACTGCTCTCATACAGCCATTGGAAGATCTCAACCTATAGGTTGTTCAGTCCTGGCGTCATTGGAGGGGGGCGCAGAGGAGGCAGGGATACCGGATTGTCCGATTCATCGAGATTGGTCGCACTGGATCGGTTGCCACTGAAGATCTCGGCGTGATATTCTGCTGCACGTGCATCAAAATGCTTTAGCATGATCTTACGCGAGGCGTGCATATCCCAACTAGTCCCCAGAGTGGCCAGGCGACCGATGAGCCCACCGATGTAGCTATTTGTATCTTAGTTCTCGGAAAATGGAATCAATGAGGTATCTCACTCACGGTTTTAAGCAATCTGGAACAAGGAATTGTACCCGAGTGGTCACTATCATCCCAAGAATGTGGTCCTTGACAGCTTTGAGGTATTCCTCATTCCGAGAAAGCCGCGAGCCGACAAGAGCAAAGCTGCCACTGCGGGCTACAATGGAGTATGCCAAATCAAAACAGCCGACGTTGCATTCTGGGTTGAAGACGTTAGAGACCATCTCGCCTATAAAATCGGCAAAACTTACCCCCATCCTTGAAGTCCAGGGTCTGCAGCTGCGAGATAATTGCCTGATTCATAGAGGGCATATACCGATGCAAGTGCTTGTAAACAGTAGCACGAATCAAACCAGGCGTGGTTTTGGCAATTTTCGGCCATCCCATTCCCTTCGGGAAATAGCCAGGCATAACATGGGAGACCTGGAGGAGCTGTAGAATATTTAGCTATAAACATAGAGAATCCCAACTGAAAGCCCTACCTGATCAATCCATGGCTCGGGGAGACAAGAGTACTCGGTTTATTTCTTAGTTCTTCAATCAACTCCGGCTGGCATAATATGACCTGACCGAAGCGAAAGGTCCGTGGGATCTCGAACAAGCTACTTGCGAATTGTTCATAGCCTTTCTTTATCATACTGGGCCCGTTCACGACAAACGTGTACTGCTGGTATAAAACCGAGAAATAGTCTTTGCGCGCAGGGAAAGGAACTTGCTTCTGCCAATTTAGCAAGTCATATCAGCATCTTGCGAGTTTGTGCTTCGATCGACTATCACATAGGGGGAGGTCACCAACGTTAGCCATGAGATAGGAAGTAAACACCAAACTAACTGCAACCACAGAGCAAAAGATAGAGGGAATAAGTATGCATAGCACTATAGCTGCAACGCGTGGTTCCACCTCGATCCAACTGAGGCTATAAAGGAAAGCCATTTTATTCTAAAGAAGTAATGGGAAACAGAAGAAATGGACAAGAAAGGGCCAGGACCGAGATTATATAGGTTTCGTCCAGGCAAACGAATATGAGATGAGAAATGATATCACTGCTAGGACGAAATAGCTTCTACGGAGCGAATCTGTCGCAAAAAGAAGCGACCAAAATTAACTCGGTGTGATATACGTACATAATGCACCGGACTTTATAATTGCATGAGGCTACTTTCTGACGGATACTTTTCAAAGGATTTTACGCCAAATATAGCATCGTATTGGAAAAGAAAGAACATCGTTACTACCTATAAGAAATATAGACATGGAAAAGACATGAACAACCCCCTGGGAAGTATCAGCGATCGAATATGTGGTATAATGATACAAGCAGACACCGCAAGTCACGCCCCCAAATAAGAAGAAAAAAAGACCCCGGCAATAACGCCAAGAAAATATTAGACAAACCAGTCTATGCGATGCCCTGGGATTCTATCCCACCCATGGTGGAGTATGAGTAAGGCAAGTCTACCAGCCCGTCCAGCAGCCAGTTCAACGGATCGAAAACTTCGTAGTTAGGTTCAATGAAGCCACTTGGAAGTCCGTTAGATTGGCTTGTGGACGGTTGAATCCCAAGAGTAGCCTGGGATAGCAGGGGTGCCGGGCAAGGCTGGGATCATTCCCAGTGATTCCTGGCGTGATTGTAGATGTGTGTACAGGGCCGACAGATGAAGTGGCCGAGGAGTCGGCTGCCGAGTCAGGGTTTGTTGGGTTTTTGAGATAGGCTAGAATGAAAGGTTAACGACTGCTTATCCATACCTGGAATTGTAAAGGGATACTGACCTTCAATGTTTCGGCCCTTAGTCCTGGCATCCTCTCGCCAGCGCCACACAGAGTCGAAAAGTAGAGACATGCTCATCCGGCAGCGTACTTTGAGTCGCAGGGAGTCGTCAACATCGGTACTATTGTTCGCCCGTTGAGTCGCTCCTCCCAATCTCCACATCTGAGCCAACACTTCAGCAAGACGTTCGGGTAGGTCATTGCTGGACGCTGACACCCCTCGGATGGCCCAGATTGTACGGTTGAATAGGTTCTTGGTGTATTCCATGTCTATGTGAGAGGCGAAGAAGCTCTTGCAAAGCTTCAGAAGAGTGCAGCCGGCGGCAACCATCATCTGGTAGACGTAGTATGGGGTATAAGAGAGAACAGGGCCAACCTCGGTCTCAAGGTTAAGGACAACCTCGAGGAATGAGGTCGTAGCGACGTATAGAGATAAGACGCGTTCGCGATAATTCTTAGTGGTTGGCTCGTCAAAGAACGCCGAAAGGTGCAAATGAAGATTAGCAGCACGGAGGAACAAGTCAGTAATACCTGGATGTCGTTAGTCATTGCATCCAATATATCGCAACTTGACTTTTGGGGGGCTTACAGTCATTCTGCGATTTAAGCTGTTCCTCCAACTCCTCAAAGTCTCGCGACAGAAAGGTAATCATCGTTGACCGTTCATGGTCGCTGGTTAAGCCAACAGGATCGCGTCGATTTGTGTAAAGCGCTCGGGTGACCTTGTCGCAGAACTTTTCAATCTCCAATCTTGGCTTGATATTTTCAGGAAGCTTGAAGTTCGGGTCTAACGAATCGCTCGAGGATAATGTCCAGTCGTAAAGAGTAGACGATGGCTGTCCATAGCCGGTGGAAACTCTGCAAAGTAAAACATGAGACAAAGGTGAGCAGTAAATGACTATAGTTTTGTACATACCTTTGAGCAACAATATTGCAAATCGCCCAGGTTCGCACCTTGTCTCTCAATTCATCCTCAATCAGTTCCACTCGGAATTTACTAAAGTCCTGAGTGTGAGAAGGCCGGTGAAGACCAAGCTGCATAGCAACCTGTACCATCATGCCACATAGCATGAAGGTCGGATCTGTCGAGGTGCTGCTTGTGGGGAACGGCCACGAGCATAGTAGAGCAAGAGCCTTCACAACATGGTAGCTTTGAGGGATATCTGCGAGAGTGCTCCAGACTAGCCGGCTGACTGGACCAGCGAGAGAATTCAGCAAATTCGAATCGCCTTGATAGCGCCGTGCACCGACACTGAGGATTGTCCAGAAAAGCAATGAAGAGGAATTATTATAATCATCGGGAGACTGATTTCGGTCCAAAAATGGAAGGAAAGGGTGGTAGTATGTGAAGAATCTGACAGGAACAAGTTAGATCAACCACCGAAACGTGGTAAATGAGAACTCACATATTAAACAGTTCTGTCACTTTCTCTGGAGCAACCATAACATCCTCAATTCGTCTGATTTGCCCACCATTCCTCATGAAGTTGGTACCATCGAAGCCCGAACGAAGGTCCAGGAGGGACGCGACAGCTTCTTGAGACCCCATGTACTGATCTGCGGACATGGCTGATGGGGTCTGATAGACTGCAGGACTGACTTGATTCGATTCTTGCTTGGGTGTCAATTGTCTTGCTTGTTGCTGTGGCATTCCAGAGACTGATTGGCCACTAGCAATCTGCTTCCTAAGCTCCATTATTTCCCTCTCCATTTCCGCATTGCGACTGCGCTTCCCAACACGTTTGAAGTTGGACTCGATTTTACAACTAAGCCTTAGTCGACGGCACCGCGAACAATCTGTCCATGGGTCTTGGATGACATCGCATCGGAGCTGTCGCAATCCGATAAGGTTAGTCAAACTCGGGAATCCTGAAGACTTTGCGATAATACGCGAGACCTACTTTCTGTTGTCGACATTCATTGCAAGCGCGCTTCACTGGCTGACGTCTCTTCTCCTCTCGCGCCTCATTGTCGTCCATATCTTCGATACTCCCCGGGGAACTGTCGATCCCCGCAATAGTCACATTGCGTTTGCGACCATGCACGCCATCGGCGGCAACTGACACAGGCAACTGATTTACACCCGCCATTACGGGACTGGTGCCAATAGAAGCATTATCAGTGGTCGCAATCTGTTCAAGAGTGTGGGCCTGGCCCTCTGCGATGCCCTTCGATCGCCCGAGAGAAGCCAGGCTGAATGACGTTTTTTGCTGATCGAAATCTCGGTTTCAGACAGTTAGAGAGATTCGGGCGGATTCGCAGACACGGTTTGGGTCTTGGGGTAGTGCAGTATAGTTCGGTTATTTCCTTCCCTTCTTTCTTTCTCCAACAAAACCGTCTCAACTTTCTTGTTCTCACTGCGGTGAGCGCACTTCTTCCGGGAACACTCGATGAGTCAGCACAGAGGGGCATGGCACGTGACTGTATATGCTTATATTTTATCCACGTGATCTGTGATTGGCTCTTGTGGCACGTGACCAGAAATGTGCGCTGTACATTTACAGTGTGTCCATAACTTTTCATAGTACAGAATACAGAGTACAATAATTATGCAGAACAAGCATACGGAAAGGCGCTAGAAAGACACTAGAATCTTTTGTGGACAATATACAGTGTACAGCACGTGTCCACATAGCCTCGAAGCCACCAAGGCAGCGAGGCAGTGCAACCGCGCCCGGCTTCGCCCTGCGTTATCGGGTGCATCCAATCCAGTATGAACTTGAAGAAAACGCTCTCAAGTTATTGGCTTGGATGTAAAAGAATACGAATATTCCATTCACGAAGATCTTCGTATTTTGTGGAGGCGTAGTCAAAGGTGGTTTAGGTGCTGGTCCTTTAGGGCAATTAGTGCAAGAATCATCGTTACATCTCATCCATCTGCCCATCCCGGAGGCTATGAAACATGAACTCGGTAAAAGCCCCCTGACTCGTCCTTCTCTGGGTGCACTTAGATACGGATGACCTGGTGTGTCTCGTCAAACTGATATAAGGAACCACCGGGCCACACCTCTCAGACTTACCTCACTTACACCATCTTCACAATATACTCCTTTCATCAAACGCCAACATGGATATCTCGACGGATGAGAAGTCCAAAGAGGCACTCTATCAATCTGAAGTTATCGACAAGTCCAGTGAACGACCACCTTCCTATTCGGCCGACCAGGTCGAGCAACCGCCACTAGAACTGCCACAGCTAGATCTGAGTTCTCATCTATCTTCTTCCACTACCGTCACTCGCGATCAGTGCGTTGCACATCTCAAGTTTCTGGCTGTGCTTGCAGATCTGCGAGACACCATCTCTAGTGATGACGGGCTCTTTGGTATCCACGATGCCGTGGCTGAAGAATTCCAAAGATCCCCTGATCGAATGAATGAAGCGCGGGCTCGTATTCGTGAAAAGCGCTGGGCTGTATATACAGCACGCGCGGTCGATCGATATACCACGTGGTGGGCTGACGGCCTTCCCCGGTCAAGGCCGATGGCAACTATTAATGACTTAGAGAGCGAGGGTTATGAAAACATCCTTGTTTGTGACACTATAGTTGCATGGGACACGGATAATCTACCTCCGCTGGGTAAGTGTATTGATACTAAGACAAAAAGGCGGTTGGCTAATTACTATATAGACATCTTGATGGTCTGGCATGCTCACTGTTTGAATCCCCGGAACTTCCTTGAGGATTGCATTCGATACGGTAAAATGAGCACCTGGGTAACAGGGTTTCCATGGGAAGTGATAGATCGCTGCATTAACAACCACACGATGGAGTATACAGTTTCTGAACAAGGACAGCGGCTGTTCGAGCAGAAACTGAATATCAAGTGGAACAATCTACACGACCCGCCAACTAAACAAGTCAACTGCCCCTGCTGCGGACGGGTGAACGATGTCCCGTGGACAAAACCTTTCCTCGGAACTCTTAGTGAACCCTTCAGATTTAACCAAGGCTACGCCGATGATTCATTTACGGAGATATGCGTCGGCTGTCTACACGTAATTGACCATGGCCGGCTCAAGGTGGCAAAGTTTCGAAAAGACCTTGAAGCAACTCTTTACGAAAACCTCCCTATGCCCGGGTCGTTCACCAATCTCCAAGGAATTCCCGAGGGGAGCAGTACTGAGACCAACCATGGTGCCCTCCGAGACATGCTATTCCCCACACGAATCCTCCAAGTTGCCGGAAGGGACTTGATGGACTTCACTGACGGTCGAGTGGATCGGTGTCAGACTGTCGCCGAGCTGAGGAACCAAATCGACGTCACGCTATGGAACAAAAAGATATTGAAGCAGACACATGGTGCCTACATTGATACCCTCCGGCGTGGCGAGGGTATCCAACTCAGAAGAATGATGTCTCGGTACTGGGAGAAACCTCGGTCCCTTCGCGCTAGACCTCGTGGGCGCTGTTATCAGACAAGGGACCTTCGTGGATAAAATGGACCAAATCGACTGGCTGCACTCGCCAACAGTCTTCGACACCATGGGCCGGCTCATTAAAAAGTACGAAGTGTTCTTCCGGATTATGCTAGAGAACCCACATAATATCGCCGTACCCACACTGGACGTCGACCTGGCCTGGCACACCCACCAACTCAGCCCATCCCGGTACTACAAATACAGCACGTCGAATGTACCCTTTGGTTCTAAACGTACGTTCATCGACCACGACGACAAAGTCGACGAGGGAAAAACTCTCCGACGGCTTTGCCTGGACCAGCAAAATGTACCGCCGTGCCACCAACGGCGGCATATACAGCGAATGCACCTGCTGGTACTGCGAGGCAACCCGAGCACCAGACCTGTATAACCGGTTGATCCCTGTTGGCTCTATCTCTCGCGCGCGAACTGCTGCAGACCGCTTGCACGATCGCCGCGATATCTCATCCGACCCAAAGAAGAACCCACATATCTCTTCGCACAACGCCGTGCGGCCAGACGACACGTATAAGTACCAGCATAGACCTATGAAAGATAAGCGTTCTATACAACGAACGCGTCTAAAGAGCGACTACGAAAAGGCCGTCCGGCGTGCGGAGAAGCGCCGTCAACGATCCGACTCCAAATCTTCTGATAATAAGAGCGACCCTTACTACACACCTTATGCATTTGGTTACCCCATCGTGATGCCATTCTATGCACCGTACATGATGGACCCGTCCATCAACTGTCATTCGTACGCAAATAACCCTAGCTGCATGGGTACTGGTCTGGGTGACGTTGGGAACTGTTGTGCTGGCACGTGTGGTAAGTTCTTACACATCCTGCTGGGGGTATTGAGTGAAATTGACTTGTCAAAAGGTGGTTCTGTGGCTGCAGGTGCCTGCGCAGGAGGCTGTATGGGTGGAGGATGTGGTAAGTCTCTTTGTGAACCTCGACTTGCAATAGATTCTGATATGTTCCTATACAGGCGGATCAGGTGGCAGCTGGGGAGGGGGGAGATGGTGGTGGTAGGTCTTATTTGTTGCACTCGATAGACTGATTTAAATACTGACTTTGTTATTTAGGTGGCGGCGGTGGTTGCGGAGGAGGAGGAGGTGGTGGTGGAGGTGGTGGAGGGGGCTGTGGTGGTGGAGGCAGCTGATTAAGAATTATGAATACCCCCTTTCCTGTTTGTGCTTTTGCTCTTCTATACTTATTGTCTTGGTTCATTCTTTGACTGCTTAGGGGATTCATGGCTAGTCTCCAGATGTCACACCCAGCCAATATACACGGTGACTAGAAGACGATCAACATGAGACTTCTTCGTCTATGTAGGCTTTCTGCAATTTCCAAACAAAGTGACGGTCTGGTCAAATGGCTGCCGAACCCCATAAATCAGCTGAGACAAAGCCAATTGACATTGTTTCACCATTGTCTTGACCAGTCTCCACCACTACTATACGGGATATGTGGATGCCACATTGATGCCCAGCTTGGCATGGACACCTGCATGAGGTATTGGAACGCAATTGCAAGGGAGAATATACCTCATTCTGTAGTCTGAAAGAGGCAACGGTAGAATCTCCCCAAAGACATTAACACCTATACTAGTTCTGGTGTACTTTATCCTACAACTTCACCTATGACGAAACATAAGATTCGAAACAAAAATGGATCTTTACCCCATAGTGTGGGTCTTTCCTTTTGCTTCCCCGCTTATGATGTACAGGTACGCAGGCAGATATAGAAATGATTGTAGATCTACATTCTGAAACAATATACTTTCATGAGATATATTCATTGTATGCCCGTCCGAGGGTTGAGTACACGCGAGTGAGAGACCATAGGCGGAGATATAGAAGAGGGCAAGGAGACAACGGAGAGAAAAGAACGGACGAGATACACATGTGGGAAAAGTAGGGAAGCGGATCGTAGAATTTGTGGGTTTGGTATATATGTGCGAGGTGAGAGGCCAAAACAAAACAAAAAAAGACAAACAGAAGCATAGAGGACACGAAAGTGGTATGTCATGCCCCTATGGATATAGGTAAGTATTTGATGGGGATAAATATGCGCCGGCCATACGGCATTTATGTGGGATTCCAGAATAAGCTGTGGCAAGACAAAACACAAAGAAAAAAAAGCAGACAGCGGGCCAAGGAGACATGATTGATACATGGGATCTCAAAAGGTGAAAAAAAAGGTCCCGAGAATTGTGAAACACGCCGTTGAGAAAAGACCTCTGAACGATTATTGGACAGTGGCTATATTCTCCAGGAGTGGTCATAAACATGTAAACAAGAAGGTCAAAAAAATCGCTCAAGCTCGTACATGAGATCGTGAAGGGGTCGTCGTTCGGCATATGCCGATTTGACCCAAGGACTGGCTCGGGGGTGCGCAAATGGGGAGGGTACTGGAAGATTTACTCTTCCATGTGACCGAAGACACCGCCGTCGTCGTCATCGACTGGTGCGGAACGGTTATCAAAGTCCACATCGGCGTTGCGACGTTGACGAGATTTGTGCGCCTCGTCACCAGTCCGGACTTCGCGCTCATCCGACACCTTGTACGACAGCGACGGGTTAAGCGACCGGGACAGGAAAACATCGATGTTGGCCTCGGAGTCTCGGCGAGCGGCCTCTTCTATGGGGCGCGATTGAAGGGAGTGGAGGCCATGGTTGCTCTGGTGGCTGCTTGAATCCAAGTAGCGCGCCGGCAGTGGAGGCACTGGTGGCACGTCAGGGGTCATGGAGACAGGCCCCGTGCGAGGAGTTCCGAAATTGCACAGGCCGATGGCGGCGGCAAGATCCGCCTCATCATCCTCGTGTAACCGTGTGTCCGCAGTCGAGGGACGGGTGTCGATGCTCGAGTGGCGGAAGTGGGAGAAGGTAGGCGAGTGCAGCGGAGCACTCTCGTTGTACGAGCTGGAGGGAATGGACTGGTAGGAACGAGAGAAACCGGAGGCGTTGCTGACGCTGGGGCGTTTGGCCCATTGTGCCGGCACGCCCGACATCTCGAAATCGTCGTCTTCCTCTGAGTCCATTGGGGGTGGCGTGGTCTCAGCGGAACTGATACCATCCCGCGTTTCTGACAGGGCGTCCGGCGATCCAGACGACAATTCCGACTCCAACTCGGCGGACTCGTCGGGTGGATCATCGTGGTTCATGGTGACCAAAACGGAGGCGGCCTCCAGCAGTTGAACCTGCTGGTGCTTGGAGATGAGAAGCTTCGAAGTAACGGACCATGCTGGGTCGTGTTCCCACCTAAGATACCACGAAGAAAAAAACACGTCAATCAAATGTTGATGAAAGGGGTGGAAAAAAGGGGGGCAGTGACGAAGGGGGAGTTGAATAACCACGAGGGCGACCTGCACAGAGCCGACATGGTGCATATTCCCGATCGAGCTAGAAGAAGACGGCCGAGCGGTAGGGGGGATACACACATATGCTTAGACAAGCAGCTGCCATGCTTATACCCTTTCCCGCAGCGATCGCAACGTATGGCCGTCGAAGCACGCTTCCCTTCGGTCTTGAGTTGGGCACCCTCGCTGGCTCGGCGGTTCCGGTTCTTGGGCTTGCCATCGGACTGATCCGATCCCGGAGAACCTTTGCGGGCGACCGTTGATTCCTGACTGGGGCTATTGATACTGCGGGATAGGTAGGAGCTGAAGCCAGATACATTTCCGATGGAGCCGGATTCCAGTCCCTTGCGGGCTCCTAGGCTGCGGCGGTGCGCACCCATAGGGAGTGAGGTAGCCTCTCCGCCTTCCATGGAGGCAGCGACTGCGGCGGCGGCATTGGCGGCGGCGGTGGTGACACTCTTTCGACGAGTTACACGGTGGTTTGGATTGAGGGCACCTAGCGAGATCGAATGCGCGTGGTGCCGCTGGCTAGTATTGGGGAGAGGACGCGACATGGACAATTCCTGTGAATGGCCAACGGGGCCGATACATTAGTATGGCCTTTTTTTAAAAAAAAGAAGACAGTAGTCAGAGGGAAATGCTAGACACCTACCTTGAATGAGGCCATGGTAAGAATTGAGAGGAAGCTTCCAATGGAATTGACCTCTAGGACACGGGTTGCCCTCAATTTAGAGAAGATGAAATAAGGCGAAGTTCCGGGTATGAGATGTATAGGGGGCAATGAATGCGAGAATGAGAGGGAACGAAGAGAGAGAATGAGAGCGAATAAAGAAAAAAAAAGTGAGGGAATCCAAAAAAAGAAAGGTGGAAGGGGAAAAAAGGAGGAGAAAGAAGGAGAAAGAGTCAGGGCCGGTATGAGCCAAAATCGCTCAGGTTTGCGGGGGCCTTTCCCTTTGAGCATGCGGGGGAGAGCGATCACCAGTCACACATACGGGTTTGGTATTTTATTGCTAATATATTTGAAGATGTGTATGCCTTTTGGACTATATTATAGTCTATACTAGATAACGTTATATCCCATGTTCCTTATACCCTATATTGTGTGTTATATCTGTGCGTGTGTGTGTGTGTGTCGCAATGGCTCTGATGCGATAGCAGAGTGGATCCCCAAATAAAGACATGTTAGTATGTTGTAGTAACAACCAAGAAACCCTTTGAATTCTAGCGAATTCGGATGGCGAATGTTGGGCATAATCCTGTTAAATATGTAATATGTGTGTTAATTCCTAGCCCTCGGATGGCGTTCCGTACAGGGGAAGGGTCTGCGCCCTGGTTCTGAAGGATAGAGCCATGGATCCAGTCTCAGCTATAAAATAATTATAACCCAATTCACCATTTGACATGTCCTTTTTATATGCAAAATATTGCAACCTTAGGAAAGTGAACACCTTTGCTTAAAAAAATAAAAAAATAAAACAAAAACCTCCAGTTGCCTGACGATCAACTAGGGTCACAAGATGGGACAGCTGGACTCTGGATTCAAGTACCAATCAGGTTACTTGGTTCCCACCCGGGCAATGACGAATGTGCATTGATAGGAGATGGCCGCGAGCACTTAAACTAGTGACTTAGGAAGTACCGCTTTGCCATGTATCGAGATCACCTGCATGGCATCGACCGGTCTAGTGCTTGGAACAGAGTGGATGAAGTGGGGGCCAATGATGTCATTGGGCTTAGTCAAAGATATCACCTGATACCCTCCAGCTGATACAATGATCTAATTTAATGCAATTTCCCTGATGGTACATACTTCGTTACATGTTGCAGCATAAGAACATCTTTTGTGGCAAAGAGGAATTGTGGCTTATCATCTAAGGGCACTCCAAGGCGACAGCACCCAGGCCCCGAAGGGACAGGTGTCAGTTAGGTAATCGCTCAGGTCACCACACATTCCTCCGATCAGGTTGCGCCATCTCGCACGCTAACGCCTGCAGGAGAGGATCATTACTCCGAGCGTCACACTGCCCTCTTGCGCACGAGCACTTGGGCGGAATTATTTTTGGCGCCCTTGAGGAGGAAGCCCCCCTAATCTTTCTTGTTTCTGGCACATTCCCAAGGTCCCAAGGTTCCTGGCCCGTCATTTTTGACCTGCGGCTGAGATACCCGGGACATTCTTCTTGTCAGTATTATTGGGTTAGAAAGTTGGATCGTTGTCGATCCAATTATTAGAGCAACCGAGAGCTACCATAGCTGTGGAATTATGTCCTCAAATGGACTTATCAAGACAACAATTCAATCGCAGTGAATCTCATATGCTCCATTATTATTTACCACGACGTGGTCGGACCTCCAAGGTGGAGGGAAACTCACCTAATCGACTCCGTATTAAATCAAACAATGCAAACATATTTCAACCCTTATCAAAATCCCCGATAAGAAATAAAGATTGTGCAGAACTCGGGAAGGGTCGCAATGGCCTCATATAATAGGTCAATTGACTTTTCAACCATACAACCAGGGAAACCTTGGAAACCTTCGGGATCTCTACTTCGAGCATACCAGATCAAATCCTAACCCAAAAATACCACAACCGCAGCAATGCTTCATTCCCGTCTACGGCCCCTCCCCCGCCGCCACTATCCCAACACACCCAGCGCCCCAGCGCCAGAATTCCAAAACCAAGACGTCGTCGAAGACGAGGAATCAACCGAAGACCTCTTCGGTGCATTCCTTCCTCACCTCTTCCCAGATGACGCACCTTCCTTCCACGGCGACCCAGGCCAACACCTCCTCTACAGCTCCCCGCGCTATGGCGACCTCAACATCATGGTCCCCAGCTACCCAAGCTCAAGCGAGAAGCGCTCCGAGGAGATTGCCGCAGGCCAAGCCAAGCCAGACGGCTCCGTAAACCAGGTCGACGAGGGCCGCAAGCTCTTCGCGCATTTCCTCTGGAGCGCGGCAATGGTCGTCGCAGAGGGTGTCGAGGAAGCGGACACACCCACAGCACCGGGCGAAACAGAGACAGAAGCCAGAAAAGAAAACCGGGAGCTGTGGAGTACTAAGGGCGAGAGTGTACTCGAGTTGGGCGCTGGTAAGTGGGCTGTTTCTAGTTTCATTATGCCATTCGTCACAGTTTATACTGTACCCCTCAACCCTAAGACACTCAAACTAATACATTGATATTGCTTACAGGCGCCGCTCTCCCCTCAGTAATCTGTTCCCTAGCTGGCGCCTCGAAGGTTGTCGCAACGGACCACCCCTCGTCGCCGGCATTCAGCGGCGCAATCGCTTTCAATATAGAGCACAATCTAGCCAGGCGCGCGTCTACGGCCGAAAGACAAATTTCAATGCATCCGCATGAATGGGGTGTGTTGGATGACTCTTTCTCGACGGCGAACAAGGGTGTCTTTACGCGCATTGTCGCGGCGGATTGTTTCTGGATGCGCTCGCAGCATGAGAACCTCGCCCGCACTATGCAGTGGTTCCTTTCGCCAGGTGGAAAGGTGTGGGTCGTTGCTGGCTTCCATACCGGGCGCGCGATTGTTGCTGGGTTCTTTGAGACGGTCCTTAAGAATGGGTTCGTGATTCAGACGATCTATGAGAGGGATTTGGTTGCGAGGTTGGACGATGGGGGCGAGATTCGCAGGGAATGGCTTCCGATTAGGGAAGGGGAGGGTACGGAGAATCAGAAGAGGTGGTGTGTTATTGCTGTTTTGAAGAGGAAAGGGGAGTAGAATTTTGGACTGTGGTTCTGATGATGGCATGTGCATTTTTGAGCGATATCTCAGTTCCCTTGCATGATGAGATTACGAGCATAAAATAGAGGAACGAATGATGGACATATTTCAGTACTATATTCAGCATATATCTATACTGGCTATCTGCTTTCCACCTTTGTTTGCTTAGGGGGTATAGTTCGCATGGTATTCCGTAGCTCCACCAAGTATCAAGCATCCCCAAGCCTCTGGAAACACACCGTACAAACACCCTGTCCCTCATGTCCTCCAAACCGGAACCGAGGATACTCAACACGGCCCCAAACCGCCAACCGATCCCCACTCGTCCGACCCCCAGTGAACCAATGCACCAGCTCTTCCTCGGTCCAATTGCAGGTAGTAACAATCAGGAACCCACCGCGCCGCACTAAGCGCCGCGCGATATCAGGGTATCTCTCACAGACACGGGTGGTCTTCGCATCATCAGCTAGCGAGACAGCATCAAACGTCCCCTTGTCAAGCACGATGTCGAAGCCACCTTCATGGTAGGGGAACCAGGGGAGTGTTTCCGATGGAGAGGAGGGTGATACCTCAAGACCTGTCTCAGAAAGAATCGCCTTCGAGCCGAGAATATCCCACTCCTCAAACTGGATGGATGTTTCTTGTTCCGGCAAGTCATTGGATCCAGCCTCAGCCTCAGCCTCACCATCCTCTTCATCATCAGATTCATCCTCATCCTCATCCTCAGAGTCAGTGCGATAAGCCGAATGCCCTCTCACACGCTGCAACTCCCTCGCAAGCTCAACACTCTGGCGCGAGTAATCAACGCCAACAAGACGCCCCCTATACCCGCCCTTCTTCTTAAGCAGCGCGAGCATACTCCCATTCCCGGTACCGAGATCTAGAACACTCGGCTGGCGCGGGCCTTTGTGTGTATTGCGCGGCGACAAGGGGAAGGACTTGCGCGTGAGGAAGTGGAGGACTTTTTGCGGGGCGTTGTGTTCGGAGAACCAGGATGTGCCGGGGTCGTCTTCTTCGTTTAGGTCGGATGTAGATGCGACATCGTCATCATCTTGGTCTTTGGCATCGGCATTGCGGTCATTCTTGGGAGCTTCGTGCGAGATGTGGGCTAGTGTGCGGGCGTAGTAGGATTCCCAGCTAGGTTTGGATTGTTAGTTTGGGTTTGGAAATTCTGTTCAGATATTAGAGGCGGTCGTATAGATCAATTGATAGTCCAATTGATCCGTTGCTGCATTCGCAGTGCCTGTTTCACTGTATACAACACGATGGAGGGGTAGAGCGGGGTTCATGAATTCCCAGCAAGGGAGTGAGGGTGCGGCTGAAATGGACACATACTAGTCTTTTGTGCCCAGCTCGCTGGGCGAGAGGTATGCTGGATGAGATTCTTCAGCCATTGTCGAGAGCATGCAGAGGATGCGCAAGGAAAAATTTGGGTTGGAGCCCTGGAGATGTTCTCGGGGCTTATCGCTATCTCCGTTCTAATCAACAGTCTGAAGCCGCGACAATTGAACCTAGAACTAGACTTGATTCCAAGTTTTTACAGCTGTACGAGAAACAATTGAAGCTTAACGTCGATCTCTATTGTGAGAATGTGCAAATGGGGTATTTATCATGCCATCTTTCACCCATAAACCAAGCATACCGTGATCCCAGGAGGAACTAAGCGGCTTCACCACACGAATGCTGAACACACAAAGGCGCAGAAGTCAAGATCTTGTCCTGAGCGGCAAGATGGAAAGATAGGAGAGTAACACGAAATAACCAAGCGAACGTGAGACGAAAGCCAATAGAAGCAAAAGAAACCCAAACGAGATAGTACCCTCCGATAATATTACAGGTACCAGGCGCAAAGGAAGCAGACAGGTCTGATTCGATCTTCCCAGGCCGGGCCTTGGTATCAAAATGAGTCCGTTTTGGACACCCGAGACGCCAGTAGTGGAAAAAAAAAGAAGGAAGAAAGTTCAAGCGATGGTGACCAGAAATGGTGTTGGCAAGACCCGTAGGTTCAAATGACAAAAAGAAATATGCAGCAAGTATGCAGGTTAGGGAAAATGGCGATGAGCGACGGCAAAGCCTGCTTTGGTCATGAGTATCATCAAGCCAGTCATCTGATTGAGATGAGTGGAAGAAATTAGTAAGTGAGAATGGAAGGGCATTGACTCCCGGGACACAACACACGTCCCGGGGGCGAGCAGATGGTCTTCAAATCAGGAAAGAGACATGGAAAATATGTCGGGTCGTAGAATCATTTCGAGCCGGGTCTCAAAGGACACGAGGCGGATAGATCACAAGAATTCATCAATAGATCTCATGATCAGGGGTTCGCCGCCGGATGGAGGCGAGCGGGGGTCTGCCGGTTCGGTGGCAAACCCCATGGCACGGGGGATAGGAGGTGGAGACAGGGCTGCCGAGCGATCAATGCGATGGAATGATGCTGGTGCCAAAGGGGTTGGCGAGAGGAATTCGTTCGTCCTCGGTGAGAACAAACCACCACCGGAGTCTGGCGCATCACGTACAAACACATGGGTCTGAACGAGCGGGTCACAGCTGCTGACGCTACGCGGCAACCCCCGTAGCCGGCCCGAGGCAGGTCCCACGGACTGAAACTTCTGTCGGAATGGGAGGGGTCGGGGGGACAGACTCCTTTTGGGCGAGTAGGACTTGGATTTTGTGTAGCTACCGTCGTCGCTCGTAGTGGGACGCGTCGATCTTGTTTCTGGGATTGAGAGGCAACTAGTTGATGGTGCCTGCGACAGGCCACGGAATGGTGGTCGGCTGGATTCGTTGGACTCTGGGCGCTCAGCTCGTGCAACCTGAGGCTCTGAGCTTCGTCGGCCGGTTTGGACGAACCACTCCTGAGGTGGGGGCTTAGAGGTAGATCCCCGCAGCAGTTTAGAGCGGAAGTCTGTGAGCTGGTAGATGAGACTCATGTTCGGGCCAACCCACTGGCTGCGTCCCTTAACTGCTTCGTACATCGAGTTGAAATCCAGGTTTCGGTTTTTGTACAATCCATAGGCAATGACCAGCGATGCCGAGCGACTGGCGCCCAGCTGGCAATGCACCAGAACTTTCTTTCCTTCGGCCACCCGGTCGTCAATCAGCTCACAGAGCGGGAGCAGATCTTCGAGAATTTCGGAGTTGTGGTCCCAACCGACATGGAGGTACTCAGGTACCGAAGTTGTAGGAGTCGAGGTAGTAGGGGTTGGCGACTCAGAATCCGAGGGCTGAAATTCCCAGGCAGACTTAAAGGACATTTCTGAAATCGCGGTCTGGGGCTCGCCTCGGGAGAAGCGTTTCGAGGCCATGGAAGCGTTGCGCCAAGTGCTCATCACTGTATCGTTCCGGTCGTCCTTGCTAGGATTGAACGGGTTCACCACTTCTTTAGCGACGTTGATAACCACGTCAAACTTGGACGCTTCTTCTGCTGTTGGTTCCAGATACAGGTAGACACCAGAGTCGTGGATCCGGATAGGCCCGTCCGGGTAGCCACGATCCTTCTTGCGGGTCGACTCCCGCGAGTCGAGGTGGTCATCCTCTTCTTCTAGGCCATCAAGAACACGGCGAGAGAAGCCAGACCCATCAACCGGCTGCAGGGTGACAGGGGACGAAACATCATCAGCAGATGCGCTAGAAAAACGGCGCGTACCATGCGGCATTAGCCGGGGAAGCTGCATGCCTCCCCGTGGGGCGAACGAGGGTGATGTAATCGATGCAAGCGAAGGTGAAGATTCTGCGTGGCGTAGGGATGGAGTTGGGGGCACGGCATCAGTAGAGATACCGGACAACGGTTTATTGAATGTGGGGGTTTGGATGGTCAGATTGGCGACGCGTCGCCTCGTGCTCTTGCTCTGCCGGGATCGCGATGGGAGATGGCGGGGTATCAAAGTGGTGTTGTGACGTCTCCACCATCGATGCAGTAGCGATAGGTGGGCGGGACTGAGATGGGGGTGGCATTCGCAATGACAAGTTCTTGAGATTACGCGCCCGCCGGTTCGGGGAGTCTGGGCGCGCATTATGAGGGGTCGGCTGCGACAGGCGTGGTTCACCGACAGGCGCAAGGCGCGGAGGAAGCTCCACGGGCCGTGTGGAGGGCATGAATTTGGGGTATGAGACCGACATGGCAGATGGAGATTCCGGGGACGAGCTCGGAGAGATGTCACCCCCGCCGGGCGAATCAAAAGGTGAGATGGTGGTGGTCGGGGATGACTCGGTGGATGCCGAGGTCATGGACGAAACACTTTCGCGGTGGGGGGAAGGAAGTAGACGCGTATTGACAGGGACATGGGTTGGGTATTGAAGAGGGTGGATAGTGTTTGCTTCTTCTTTGTATCGCGGAAGTGGACCACCAAACACCGACATGAAAGATGGAAATGAGTCCGGAAAGGACGGCTGGCTAGTTTGCACTGGCATTGTCCGAGGAATCGACACTGTGAAAGGGAAGTTCCTTTCAATCCGGCTCTCACAAGAGAGGCTAGAATGGCATTCGGGATCGAAGATGCACTTGCTGCCTGCGCAAATGGAGTCTCTATTGGGAAGGATGTTTAGCTTGAATCTAGGGCAACATAAATGCAAGGGTTTGAGACTAATGATCAAGGGGAAAGGCACACAATGCACGATGTCATGAAGGAGAATGAGGAAGTGTAATAAACGAGAGGTTGGTTATTGGGGAAGGCCATCCACATACCAGATCACAAGGGTATGTGTATCTTCTTTTCTTTTCCAGTATTTGTAAGGAATATGAAGGAATGACTGGACCAAAGATCAAAGACCAAAGAGTTAAAGATCAAAGGGAATAATGAAAAGGGAAAGAAAGGTATCACAGAGAGTCGTATAGAATCAAAGCGGTTCCTCCAGGGAACTGGAAGGATGAAAAAGAGAGAAGAAAGGCAGAATAGGAAGAGGAAAAGAAAAAGAGAGTATACGGGATTTTGGACCCTTTCGTGTTTTGGGGATCTGGAAGTAACAAAGTAACAAAAAGTAACAAAAGTAACATACAATACCAGAAAAGAGGGGAGATAAAAGCCCAATCACTGCCCTCTCTAATTTTAGCCGCCCTGGAATGTTTAGGTCGGCGTCAAATCAACGTAAATGAGAGGCTCGTGAGTGTGCCTCTTCCCACCTTAGCGTGTTATCTATTTTCTTACATTTCCAAATATTATTATATTCATTCATTCTCTCATTCTTTCTATGTATGTTGTATGTTGTATGTATTTCCCAAAATACTACATGCTCAGGTCCCACATAGTATAGTCCCACAGCTGAGTACATCCATGTCCACAAGTACTCCGTATATTCCTTAAAGTTGGATACCCCCATCTGTTACACACAATACCAACACAAACGGCTTAAAGACCGAGATGACAAGGGGGGGAGACATTCGAGACGGGATATGGTGGAGATGTGCTGTGCGTAGTAACCCGAAAGGGAGACAGTCTTCCAGTCTTCCAATTTTACCTTCCCGTCTCTCAATACATAACTCCACTGTTTCTCTACTCCGTACCTAGATAATTACATATGTACATACATGATTCAGGTCAAAACAACATAAATTTGAATGGGTGAACGGTGGGCTGGCTGACCCATGGATTGTGTGGACATGATGCCATTGGGCCATTCAACATTTTAGGGGCAACTCCCCAAATAGGAATAGAGAGATATCTGATTGGATGATAGCAGGAGGACAAGGCACAATCTGAAACCCCATGGATCTGGGTTTGGCGCTGGATGAAACACGCCAAATTGGCACTAGTGGGAGACTAGTGGGTCTTGGCACTTGTCTCAAGATCGTGTGAGATATAATACAAACAGGTTTGAAGCTATATTTTAATTTCATACTCCGTACGGAGAATAGCAATATTTACCCCTAGAAGTTATATGCAACTAGATCGTCTATTACATCAGCCGGGATTATCCCTATGGAGGCTGGGGAGAGTTACTGAAGCTTGAGGCCCACTATATTTTCGGGGAATGACGAATGATCGGCCTTCTCCACGTGGATTGTAGTCCTGAAACTGGATCTTCACTTCGCCATATGCCGAGTCTGGAGAGGATATTCCCATGGTATTCATCACCCTGTCACCGAAAATCTGGTTTGTGCCAGAAAAGTTCCAAATAGATGAACCCCTTTCTCTGGCGTTCTTAATCCTGAAGGAACTCCAGATGTTTCAGCATGCGCTTCTAAAAATAAATATCCTGGATTGCGACATAAGCAGCTTACGCTTGGTTGACATACTTGTGTTTCAGACTTGATGGACACTTTCCATTGGTTTGTCGCATACCGAGTACAAGGACAGCTTGTTCAATTAAACTACTACCGCGAATGAACTCTTGGTCTTGTCTTGCCTTGTCTCTTATTATCGGTACATATTGCAAATGACATGGTTCGGCTAGCCGTCGCAATATACAATATAGGGCTCTCCGGATTATTCCATAAATAGATTTCTGTTTAATAATGATCAATCTAATCAAGGCACCAAGTTGGTCCACCTACTCCGTGTTACCTGTATGCCTACATAGTGGATTGCCACACGAGCAATACGCACATGACAATGGACTTGTCAAGAAATGGTCAAGTGGCTGTGCCTAAGTATTGAAGGATTCGACTCATATCACTATGTTGTATACGGAGTACATGGGTCTAGACAAGGCGCTCTGTCTATTATAGGATTCCACATTAAGTGATACTAGCGAGCCAACAAGGTATACCCCGTACACTAGGATATCTGTCACTGATTAAGCCCCTTTATTAGCATAGCCTTGCTTGTTTCTTCTCCAAGTATAGCCCATGTCTAACTATTAATAAAAAGTAGTCCTAGTGTTCCAAGGTGAGATTGACGTACTATCTCGTCACTTAATTGATAATTAATAGCGAGAGCAATGTACATGCACCTAGAGTACATTTCCTAGCCCAGGCTGCCCGCTTTGCTTTTTATATTCATTGGTATGAATGGAAAGCAGTACCTAAGAATCGGACGATATTTGCCAACATATTCAGTCTACCTAGGTAGTATACCTATACTGTATATAGAGCGCAATAAAGGGTCCCAAGTATTCCGACCATCTACTTCCATTTCAAGGTCGACTAGCATCCCTAGGTAATGAAGTTGTAAGGATGGTTATATATCAGGTGATTAGTATGGTCTGCGATGTCAAAACTATATCCAGGACTTGATATGTTGTACCTATGTAGATGTAGATAGTATCCTGCATACTGCAACCCGAATAGTACCTACAGTTTGTTTTGGATCCATGGATGTCAACTGTCAAATTCAATTTGTTGGGGGGGTTTTGAATGGAACCATGGTTTTGTCTGGCATTGAACCATGGTTCAATGCTTATTTTTGTATTTTTTTGTTTTTGTTTTCTTCCTTTTCCTTTTCTTTTTCTTTTCCTTCTTCTTTTCCTGTTTCGGAATTTATGTAGAACAGACTCCCAGCATCTACATGAGTGTAGAGTACTATCATCCTGCATATGCCATCTACAGAGTCCCAAGTGATATTGTACCTTCCTCAATATTTCCCAGTCAAAACAAAATCAAGTTTCAAACAAAATCCAATAGAAAAATAAAAGCTCGTCAATATTGAAATTCTCCAGTGTATACCCGCATCCAATATTCTTTATCCTTTCTGACAGGTCAAGTCCACAAGTCCTTACTGACATCCTGCAATGACTATGAACTGTGCATATTTCCAATCCGTCGGAACTATACAATCCTAGCTTTCCCCAGAGTCGTGAACACTTTGAAGGTACAAAGTACTTCACCGTACTCTGTACTTCGTACAGTGTACAGAGTACAAAGTACACGATGGCTGCAGGTTCCCGTGACCGTTTGCAACCCAACCAAGTCAATCAGCATCGTGACTATGACCACGACCAGCACATCCAACATTTCCGACATTTTCCTCACTCGCGTTCTTTGTCGTTGCACACTCGCTTCGATGGCCCCACCGATGAAACACCCAATCTAAACACCAAACGCTCCTTATTGCACCGCGCCCGGCGATCCGTCCTAAGCTTCAGCTCACCCAGCCCCCAAGCTTCTGAATCTCCCCATGCCTCGAAGAGGCCCAGACAGGACGAATTACACCAAGATCGCCCTGATGTGAAAAGAACCATGCCATCAAGTCTGGCTTATTCTGGAGCGACCAGAACCCTAAATGAAAATGCTCGTTCTCTCAACGGCAGTCTAAACGGTACTCATCGGGGGATTGAGGACAAGTCTTCGACGGACGAGGGCCGCCCAAAGAACGAGGATGTGTTCCTAAATATTGCGAGAGCTGATTCTGGCCGTCGCGACTCGATAGGTCGCTCGGATTTTCGACGGGTAAGTGAGAATAATATAGGTCTTGAGCCGATCGCATTCCTGATCGCTCTGGCATTCATCGGCCACGGCATCCGCTCAACCCCTTCCTGTGACTTCCCGATAGCTAACGAGAACGTACGGACTAGTCACGGCTTGGTTATTCTAGCCAAAGTCTACGGTCGCCAACGACAGAACAAACCCCGTCACCCGATCAGCGGTATAGCAATATCGACAACCCCTTGCATTTGCAAAATGATTCCCCCACTGCCCCCTACAGCTCCATCCATACTCCAGCGTCATCCGCCCATCCTCTAGACGACTCAGGTCGCTTCCGCTACAGTGGCCTAGGATCCAGTGCGCGATCCGCTGTCGGCGTTCCACGAAGCCGCTTCAGCCGCACGAGCCCAGAAACTTCACCGCGCACACCTACCGCTGCTGAGGAACAGGAGCGCCGGTCCTCCTGAACCGATCCGCGCATCAATCGCTATTCGGGACTCTCTACGATCCGGAGCAGTCGGCAACCTTCTGCCTCTGAAGTAACCGGGCGACCGCGAGCCGATACAGAACGATCGCGCGCTGATGGAACCGAGTCGACATTGTCCACCACGGCCCCATCCACTGTTTGGGACGAACTGGATGATCTCAAAGATCGGATCAAAAAGCTGGAACTGACGGGGAGGCTACCTCCATCATCTTCAGCGGCGATGTACACCCCTACCAACGAGAGACCGCGGACTGCAAACACTGCAATTACCACCTTATCCTCTTCGCCGAAGCAACGCCGCAAAGCCAGCGTCTCAACTGCAGATACGGAACGGAGCCCGGTGCACCCGATTCTGCAATCCGCATTGGCCAAGGCAAAAGCTGTCTTGAGCGGTGACGTGTACACCTCCCTGGAAGCGACGATAACCGATGCTTTGAACCTTTCCACCGCGTTGGGCGTCAATACTGCCCCATCGGGCAGCGTCTCTGTCGTGAATGGAGGATACACCTCACCCGAACGACATGCCCGCCGCAAAGCGGACAGTGTGTGCCGTAGCCTGACCGAGCTTTGCCTAGCCTTGACGGATGAGCAGCTAAAGAGTGCCCGACCGTCGTCAAGCCGTGAGACAGGCGTGCAGCCCCAATTGTCGAATGGCACGGGGATCGATGCTCGTACGTCCGTACCGACGTATCAGCGAAACGGGAGCAAGGAGCCCGAAGGAGTTGAGCGGCGTCATAGCACGACTCGCATCTCCAGTCGCCTTGACGCACGTCGAGCATCCCTGGTCAATACCAGTCCTGGTAACACGACGGATGTGAAGCAGAGTCCAAGCCAATCCCCCGGCATGTCTAACCCAGCCAGTCGTCTCAATCGCATGTCAAGTTCCCTCCGCAGCCGCAGACTGACCATTGGCGAGGAAAGCGGAGAGACTGAAAGTCCACATAGTCGTTCGATCTCCAGAGCCAATACGGAAATTGGCACACCGCTTCCTGCGCAAGCCATCCCCCCTCCTCGGCAACGATTCTCCCAAGGTCACACTGTGTCCCGCTCCATTTCCGGTGTGCAGCAGGACCAGAGCGGCCTCGCATACTCCCCCGCTCCCCGCAATACCAATCATCACAGGTCCCACAACCGCAGGTGCAGTCATCGCAGCCTCGGACACCGACTCTCTCATCCAGTCTCTCATTCCGTCGAAGCTACATGAACCCCGCTACGTACACTCCTGCGACATCCCGCTCCAACATCCAGGCTGGGTCTCGCCGTTACGGCCTAACGCCTAGCTTCTCTTCCAATAACGTGCAGGGATCTGGCGTCGAAGAAGGTCTGCGGCCCCAAATGGAGCCCTCCCAGACCAGAATCTCGACCCCATCGAGCAAAGTGGCAACCAGCTACACGCCAATCCAATCACCACGACTGCGAACGAACAGCTTGGGCGCACGGAGATTCGGTCTTCGAAATCGTGCCCCAGCCACCCCCAACAATGTAAACCTCGATGACAGCATCGATTAACGCTCACACCTCCCATATCCCTCTGGCTGAACCCCGCCATCCTGCATGCCAACCGTCGACATATCCGGTTATGTCACCTTGAATTATTTTACGCAGCGACCCCGCATCTGATCCTGTTTCTTTCGGACATCTGCTTCGACATCGGCGTTCTCGTTCCATCTTTCAAAAGGACTTTGCTTGTTATATGCATGTCTCACCAGCCATGACAGTTGGAAGTTTTCCCTGTCCACAGTTCTGCACAACATTGCATTATGCATTCTAACGAATCTCCTCTGTCTTTGATTTGAGAAACTGCACCCATCACGCTGTCAGCGCATCATCCTATTCTACGTCAACATTTCTTTGTGTGATACTTGTCTGCGGGAAAGGTCTCTGACAGCAAAGACACACCATCTCACCACCATAGACTATCAACATGTCTACTGGTTTGTCAAATTCATGTACAAAACCTACCATTGGCGGCGTCTCTTGTCCATAATACCCTACCGGGTGGCACTGTTTCATTTGTGTACCAGCCCTAGGGTTTACCTTTCCTTGTTTCTACTTGTTTCTCTTGTCTATTCTTTTGTCGCATCTCTCACTTGCGGGCGCATTTTTGTTTCTAGGTCTGCTGCCCGTAAGCTGGTCTTTTCTATTATCTCCTTTGTCCGTGAGTCGCAGACGAGCATTTACATAATGACGGAATGGAATGAAATGAGGTATTCAAGCGCTTCCTTGTTAGTTCTGTTGCTTTATAAAGAATCCATACGACTTAAGCTAGTGCGTTCTGCTGTCGTCTTATAGAAAGATATAATATCCTTGTCCACCAGCTTATACATTGTAGCATAGTATAAATCGCTGACGTCTTACTAGCTCAACGATAAATCGGTTGGACAGATCATCCGTACAAAGATATACCGGCAGATAAACCGGACGGTCCATCTGTAGAGGGTATACAAGAAATCCTTATTCCTGGAGTATTTGATGAGATTAGACAATGCCAATGTCCTATTGACATTTAACACCAGATATTCATATTTGAGAACAGCAGCCAAGGTGATACGCAACGAGACACATGAAAGGGGGGTTATTAGGAGACAGAAGCGTTTTTTTATTATTTCGAGGGTTTCGTTTTCAAGGGTCAAGATACACCGCAATAAGGAGAGGGTAGGGTTGGTAAAAGGTGGTAGCATTGCAGTAAATCAGGGATAGGAAGGGAACGAGAACAGGGTACATAAGTCGAGGAGATAAGAGTGGAGGGAAAGACATGGATCAATATACCCCGCCAGCTACAATCTGGCGGCGCACAAGGTGGAACGATGACAAGGACAAGGAGGAGGTAGAGACCGGGATGGAGGCGGAGAGATCTGGGATTCGGGAGTCGGGATAAAGACGGATTAGGGACATCACGGTGACAGTTCAGCTGATGTGGGGAAGCGAGGGAGGGAATGGAGGTAAGGCTGTTGTGATTGGCAAAGTTGAGGGTTAGGATCGAGAGACATTTGGGTTGCGATGCAATTCAACGCACAATGGTCGATAAAGACCACACAAAATTGGTATCTAATACGCATGTGTACCCTCCATCCATCGCAGCGAACTTTTGTCTTTTGTGAATAAGAGCAACGTATGGTGAGGCTAGAACCTCGAAAGAGAGCCGAGGAAGAAGACCAAGAGAGAAAGACCCAAAGCAATCGGAATGAAATAGAGGAATAAAAAGAAAACAAAAGAAGCGCTAGCACATGACCGCCGCTGATCGTGACCGACAAGTCTTCAAGGAAGTCGTAAGGTCAGAGAACACAAAGGAGTCCTGCTAGGACCATCTCATCCGCGCACACCCACACACCGGGAAATATTCCCGGGGGGTTCATTCCTGGGGAAGCTGGCTGCGGCGAGTCTTCTCGGCTTCCAGGTTCTCGTAGAGAAGGTACAGAGCCTTTTCGTTAGCCAGAGCACTTCCCATGATGGTGAACATGCGCTCGCCAGTCTCATCATGGGGAGCTTTGGCGATCGAAATCCGAGCGCCCGAGCTTCGGCGAATCTCTGTGATCTTGGTTCCGCCCGCCGATGATGCATCCAACCATGTCCGCAGGAATGCTGATGTTCTGGGTCTGGATCTCTTCGCCGTCTTCCGTAACCAAGGGGTATCCGCGGTTTCCAGCATCGGAGTTAGATCGGCGGTTATAGCCACCATCGCTGAAGTCGGCGCCGTTGCCGGTGCGGTTGTACTGACGGCTGTTGGTATTGTTCTGGTAGCCATTTCCAGCAGGGGGGTTGTTGCTGAGCGGCTGCGAGCCGCTGAGAGAAGCACGGACGGCGGGGTTGTAGAGAACAGTACCGGTGCCACGCTGCCAGTCGTCAAGCAGACATTTGCCGATTTCCCAAATGGCCTTCTCGATGCCCTCGGGGTACCCTGGACCTCGACAATGCGCTCTGTGGATTGGGGGAGCATTTCCTTCTGCGCAACCATCCGGACACCCGATGCATCCTGAATGTGCTTGATCTTCAGACCTGTCGTCCAATAATGGTACCCATTTGGTTGTGGGAGATCAGAAGGCGAACGGCTAGAGAAAGTTAGAACAAGTTCGGATCAAAATGATAATTTCCAGACTCTCTGCATGGATTCTTTAAACTCCCCATACAGGAGAATGATTCCAAATCAAAATATCCAGAGCGACAAAAAAAAAGAAGATATCACTTACGGTGGGTCCCATTGTTAGAGACAATGCCACCCATGCCCATCTGCGGGGCACCCTCCAAAAGACCCTTTGCCACGATCGCATAGGCACGAGCAAGCGAGCGCAATTGACCAGTAACAGTCAGGACACGGTCATGGACACCGGGAACTACCTTGCTTACACCGGCCTTGACACCGGTCTCGTCGCGGAGGTCGGCAACGTTCTTGCCAGCCTTACCGATGATGACACCGGCCTCCTTGGAGGAAACAATAGCACGCAGAGTCAGATCGGCGATAGCATACTCCTCCTCGGTCTTAAGGGGGGCCTCAAGGTCACCCTGATCGGCGAGGTTGTCGTTGAAGTTATCGGTCATGGGCTCGTCGTGGTCCACGACGGTGGTTTGGTGAATCTCGGTGGAATCCATTTTTTCGGTGATCGATGAAGGTGGGAGAAGCGGTTAAGCGGTTTGAAAGGATCAAGTGAGTAGCGGGATAGAAGGTTCCTTTAAGGCCGTACGGTCGCGAGATGCGGACGGTAGAGACTTCACACTCAAATAGTGGCAAAAGTCAGTTTTGTAACAAAGGCAGAAAGGAGTGCGCATGTGGTACAGGGCGATGCGCGAATTCTCAGGTGAGGGAAACTTGTAAAATAGGATCAAACTTGCTAGAAAGAGGACTCACAGAAGAGGGAGATAGGAAGTGGAGAAATGGATGGGAGGGGAAAGTGGCAGGATCTTGGATCAAGAGGGAGAGGAAGATGAATAGGAAACTCGATGAGAGAAAGGGGAGAAGAGGAGAGAAGAGGAGAGAGGAAGAAGAAAAAGGGAAAAAGGTGAGGAGAGAGAGAGGAGGAGAGATGGAGATGTGAAAGAGTTGAAGTTCAAGTGTTTTGCTTTAAGCGGAGAACCCAAGTATGAAAATCTGCCTCTCTCTTTTTCTCTGACCTCTTCTTTTCTTTATATACAGGTTTTTCTTATATATAATTCTACTCTTCTATTGCTTTTTCTATTTAATCTTACCTGGTTATATACATATACTCTCTATTTATCAGCCTCGAATATCACTTTCTGCACCTGGTGCGCATTGAATAGATCATAGCCCTCCACGGCCTGCGAGAGTGGCATCATCTTATCAGCCATAAAGCCAAGTTTGTGCTGGTTCCTCTTGAGCACCTCCAGAGCCTGAGGAGCAACAGACCGAACAGGGCATCGCCCCATCTGGACAGTGAGGTTCTTGGAATAGGCATCATTGCCGTCCCAGGGAATCTGAGTACCTTATTAGCAACGATACTAAAAGCCGATACATATCTACTTACCTCTCCATTGTGGACACCAACGCTACTAATGGTTCCCCATGGTCGCAGAAGTTCAAAGCCAGTGCGCAAGGCAGGACTCAATCCGACGACTTCGATGACAGCATCGGCACCACGTCCGTTTGTCAGCTCTTGAACACGCTTGTCTAGACCAGCGCGGTCCAGCTGGAAATTCCACGGCTCAGCACCAAGCGACTTGGCAAGCTCCAGTCTCGAGGGGACGGAGTCAACCGCCAGGATATGCTTGGGCTTGTACTCCAGAGCATTGATGAGCGCACAGAGACCGACAGGTCCACATCCAATTAGGACTACTGTCTGTTCAGCAATCTGCTCGGGGGTCGAGTTCTTGAATGCATTGTTGGCTGCAAACCAGCCTGTGGGGAAGATATCTCCCATGAGAACCAGATACTTCTCGTCAACGCCCTCGGGGGCCTTCATGACCGAACCATCAGCATTCGGGATTCGCGCCTGCGTAGTCTCAATATCAGCACATAGAGCAAAATAAGAATATGCTTAGAAACCCACGTATTCGGCCTGTCCACCGTCCAAGCTATCACATCCAAAAAGACTGTTCTTATCACAGCGAGAAGACCACCCTTGCTTGCAGTAGAAGCATTCGCCGCTATCATGATGTCAGCGCAACGTTCGTACAATTTACTGCAAAACGAGCATCTAGTGAGCACGCAGCTTACCAGGAAGTAGTAAACGCAGTAACAACCCGGTCACCCTTCTGGAGAGTCTTGACGGCGCTGCCCATCTCAACGACCTCACCCACGAATTCATGGCCCATGATAAATCCAGTTCCTGCAGGCTCCACGCCACGGAACATGTGCAACTCACTATAGAATATTACGATTAGCACTGGTCTTTTGATAAAACAAGTATAGATCAATCCCACCTTCCACAAAGCGCGGTATATCCCACCTTGACTACAATATCCTCCGGGTTCTGGAGATTGGGAATAGGTCTCTGCTCAACAGCGACCTTATAGGGGCCGTGAAACACGACCGCCTGCATCATACCAGAATCCGAGGGAGCGGGAGCCATCCTGACGCTGGTCAGTTTTCAGTCTTTTTATAGAGAAATCTTGTAGTTGAAGTATGACAGCAGAGACTTACTTTGGGGGTTTGGCGGGGGAATTTGGAAGTCAGGCTTTGCTACAATGGATACTCCAAGCCAAATTCTTCAATATAGAATCAGAATGCAAAGGGATCCGAATTTAAAGAAGAAATCTACTAATTTCTCCAGTCTCGGGCTTCTGTGCGAATGAATCACCTGGTGGGGCTGGTAGACTATGCCCACAGTGGTTGGTCTCCACTGAAAGCGCCGAAAATAGGATATAGATGGAGATGCTTTAAAAGTATGGAGACCAAGTTCTATATGATGCATGTGTTTGCAGATATAGACAGAATACAAGGGAATTTGAGCTACTACTCCAAGTAGAACTATCGCTCTTATGGAAGGTGGATACTACGTAGAAGAGAGATAAACTGTCAAAATGTATTCCAAGGACGCAACAGAAAGGCATGACACCCAAGCCCTGCTCTGCGAATGTGTAGCTGGTTCCAGTTCCATCAGGCCCAAAGAAACCGAACAAAGAAAGGCAAATACTCCTTGCGACGCCTTTCGCAAACACCAAAGCTGAGAAAGAGAAAGAAAAACAAGGCAACAGGAATCAGTCTTGAAAAGCATAAATGCTCAGAGAATGCAATCCCATTCTTATCATGAAATCGAGAACTGGCCAGGTGCACGAATCGAAGATCCAGATCGACAACACACGAGGACCATGCGTATGAGTGGAAGTGTCCCCACTAACAAACGACACAGAACAGTTCCTCCTCGAGGATGAATTTGCCCTCCTTGTATTTCTCACTGCTCTCGTATGCCTTGTCGTACTTCCATCCTACCGTTTCCTTGCACTGTCTGCAGGCGATGTCACGCACGATATGTCGACCTGTCGTCATGTTGCGCTCTACGGCTTCGCCTTGCGTGACGTTGACGACTTTATTGAAGAGGTATGCTTTCCCGTGCTGGCCTCGGAAGTTCTAGGGAGTCAAAAGTCACGGGTCAGTAACAGGTGATTCATAGCAGGAGTGTAGGAAGAAGAGGATTCAGGGCATTTTCATACCCGACTCATGATCTCGTTGAAGTCTGCCAGATGAGTCTTGCATCCTTTACACCCAAAGATCTTGTTGGCAGTCAAGTAGACGTTGTATGAGAGGCCCATGGTGTAGTTATGCGGCTATTGTCGGAGAGGCGTAGGATGTGTTTCTGTGAGGATCTGAGATGGCAGTCGAGGTCCTGAGAGGTGAGTTCGAAACAGCAGAGAGCTGGCAATGATATATAGAGGGGGGATATGCGATGGTTTATTGAAAAGGGGCAGCGTGTTTGCCTGCTTTCTTCGATATGGAGTAGTTGGCCCCGCCCTGGCTTCGACTTGGGGAGGACCTATGCTGTAGTCCTGCTGTTGACCTCCTTATGGATCTGAGCCTTTATGTTCTGGCAAATGTAGTCTTGATTTATGATAACGTATCCCTGGCCCTTGCAGAGGGGTCTATGGAAAGAGGGATGTCGGACTTCACAGCCTCCCAAGGTTGGAGCTGACGTGTAGACGATAAGCCGATAAGCGGGACCGGAAGGAGATTCGGGATTCACGGAGACAGCAGGGTGGCAGGGTAGCAGGTAAAAGGCTTTTCAGCTTTTCAGAATGGTCAGCTGGCTCAGGGTGTACAGAGATTTCAAGTAAGTCAAGAACCTGCCCAGTTGAGCTCGGAGGTTTAAGTCACTCTGAGGCCCCGCACTGGTTCTGGTTCGTTTCAACCTTGGAAATGCCGAGCTTCCTTTGTCCCTTTGTCACTTTGTACTTCAGTATATTTGACATCCCACGATATACAGGACATACGAGAGTCAACTAGTTACCTAGATATAGGCAAGTAATTTTTGGGGTAATCATCAATTCAGAATCCCTGTACATAAGGCGCCGGTAAACATGCGCTCCACCAAGTATGCTCAAATGACAAAATTACATATCTGAATCACCATTCTATTTTTTTTTTACAGAAAGCCCTTTGACATCTCTCTGCTTCACTCATAGTCCTTCACGTAACGACCAGGCAGTTCAACGTCCCACATAGGTCGCTCCACCACTGCGACTTCCAGAATCCCACTCGAGGCTCTGGTCGTCGGAATCGTCATCCGACAAGGTGTTGAGAGGTACAATGCCAAGGATATCACGGTATTTATAGGTGTGCCACCACCGACGTGTAGGCTGAGCTGAGGCACCATTGGTCTCCACCAGCTGCTTCTTCGGGGTATCGCCGGTGTGCTTCCGTGATCCCTTCTGTGGGGTTTCGGTTTCGACCGCAGTTCCATCTCCACGTCGTAGACGGGCGAGGGTTGTCTCATTGGTGGCTGCAAAGGACTCGTCGTACTCGTAGGCCTCGTCATCTTCGCCTGGGACACGGGGACGTTCCTTGTCAAGCGCGATCCATTCTCCCTGCGATTCATCACTGCCGACGATCTTGCGGACCTTGGTGCCAAAGTGGACATCCATCTGTGACTGAGGGATTCGGTCACCGGCACCAGTGTTGTGTTTCCTACGCTCGTATTCGTCGTCGTCGAGGGCTTCGCGCTTGCGCTTCGATGCCTTGGCAAGCTGACCCGCGGTCTTGCCCTCTTCGGTCCTAGCTTCAGCCTCATCGGGCGAGGGGAAGTCTTGGAGCAGATCAAACATCCACAACCATGATGCTCCGTAGAGCCAGAGGCGCTCGCGGCCCTCACAAAGATCCCACATGCAGCCCATAGCTCGGTCCTTAACGCCTCGGAACTCTGCGGGGAGGTATGCCTTGGGATTGCGTCTGGACCAGTCGGACAATTTGCCATCCCGAGCATCAAATTCGATGAGCTGGTGCTCACTTGTGAGGACCATCAGACGATCCTCGCCGGACTGATGTGTGCCATTGGCGAGAAGCTTTTGTGTGGGGGCAGACTTGGGACGGAAGGACAACAAAGTGATGCCGGACTTCATACGGGGGATTGGTGATTCGGTGGCAGCGGTAGTCCAGCGCTCGCCCTCAATCACAACGTCCTCGTCCTCATCATCAGATGAATCATCGTCGGACTCTGAGGCTCCGCTACGTTTGGCCGCACCGTTCGCGGCTCCTGCGCCCAGCACCCAGGTGTCGACACAACCAGAGATATCACCACACGCCAGAACCTTGCTGTCATCTGAAAACACCACAGATCGTATTGTTCTCTCGTAGTCACCCAACGTTCCGTGGGATGCCTTTTCGTGTCGTACATGACGGGCGACTCTCTTGAGCTTCGCAAACTGTGGCACCACTTGAGGCTTCTCACTAGATACGGAGGATGGCTGAATCTTTGCCATGTAGATGTCGCTGTTGGGGCGAACAATTGAAAGCCATCGGCCGTCGGGGAAATGGTCACAAGGCGAGCACCTTCATCGGAAAGCACCTTAGGTACGTCGATCTTCTGGATGCGCAGAGCACCCTTCTCATCGCCCTTTCGCCGACGGAGAGAAAACAGTTTGACCTCAGCAATGGTTGCAACAGCGAGCGTCTTGCCATCTGAAGACAGCATCGCCGATGAGATGTTTTCCTCGCCCTGGATCAGAACCTTACCAACAAGTCTATGCCGTTGGCCATCAATGTTCTCATGCAAAGACGCAGGGCCTCGAGACACACGCCACAAGCTCACTTCTCTATCCCAGAAACTCATAACCAAACGAGACGACGGCGCGGAGGTGAGCTGGGGAATCTGCGGAAGACTCGAAAGCTTGCGGTGGTGTTCCTTTCCGAATTCACGCAGAGGGAGAACAACTGGTGTTGCATCGGGACCTTTGAACGAAACAAGTCAGCATTGTTAGAACATCTCAAATCGATAGTGGGCCAATGTTTAGCATACCTCCAGACACAGCGATACTGATATCCTTCGTCTCGTAGACAGCGAACGTCTTGACATCGTGGGTGTGGTAGCGACGATGCATGATCTCAGCCCAGCGACCCTTCTTGTCGCCCTTCTCGCCCTCCTTCTTGCGGTAGACGACCGTCCTCTGGTCGGCACCGCCACTGACAACAGTGTCTCCATTGGCACTCACTGCGATATCGAGAGTATCTGCAAGATGGCCCTGTATCCGTTGAACGAGAGAATAGTTCTTTGCGTCCCAGAACCGAATTTCACCAGCCGAGTCACCCGAAACGATCGTGCCGTCCGGCAGACATTTCACCGACCAAACCAACAATTCCTTCGGACCTCCTGTAGGACCTTTGCCCAGAGAGATTGTCCGCAGCATCTGACCACTGCGAATATCAAAGAGACGGATAGAACTATCAGCATAACCCGCGACGATGGTATGGCGGTTCTGGAAGGTAACGCTGAGGACGCGCGCTCTTTTCGTTGAGGGACGCATCAGGCGCAAGAATTTGAGCTCGTTATCGGCAGTAGACAAGATGACAATTGACCCATCCGCACATCCTGCGGCGAGGTGCTGACCGGTGTGCTCGCCCTCGGCGGGAGGAAGCGGCTTCCCATCTTTGCCCTTGGTCGCCTGCCAGCGGGGCTGCGCAGCAAGACACCAAATCTCTCCATAGTTTCCACTGGAGTGACGCAGCGGGCGGCCATTCTCAAGATCCCATTCGGTGACGGCTGTGGAGTATCCAATGCTAAACAGACGCAGCTTCCCTGGTAATTTGGTGCCATCTGGCCCATCCTCCTGGGGATCCAGAGTCCATGCGAGTCCTTCAATGCTTCTATCCTTGCCTCCACGCATCACGGTCTCCTGGAACCAGGCGCCGCGCATAGGGTTCCATATTTCGATATCACCGTTCGCACGACCGATCGCGAGTCGGAGGGTGGGTACGCCACGTCCAGCTAGATCTGCTGACGGGGGATGCGAGAATGCAAGTGCATTGATCGCCTGTGGGTTATAAGAAACGAAACGACAACGGTGGATATCCATTATTGGAGATGGGGGGCTTCGAAGCCAGAGAGCTCGTTTCGGATGGTTTTAAACGGCGTGCAAATCAGAAATGGGCGTGCTGAAGATCAATTCAGAAATAGTTCAGCTTGGGCTGTAAAACCAGCCTTTAGACAGTCATCTCTTAGACACAAATGGGTGATTATATCGTGGTGCCAAAGCTTTCCTTGCGACCGTTGCGCTGCCGCTTTTTTTTTCTGTAGATAATTTTTAGCGGCCGGAATATCTTAACTAGTTTGGTCTGTTTCTCCGAGATCACGTGTGGGGAATCGAGCATCATTATGCCCTATAAATCAGGCCATTATATCCATGGATGGATTGGACGTTCATGAGAAGAGCAATGAAGAATGATGATATGTCTTTGTCGCTAAAAGCTATCATGTCAATCGCTTGATAAACTCTGATTTCCAAGGTTGGAATGTGAGGTCGATTAGTACCTAGATACATTTCAGGACCTAGGTTCCATTGAAATAGTTAACTACAACACATCCACCTGTACAAGGACATGCTTGACACAAATGTGGTCGAGTAAATTCAAAAGTACGTATCCAACGTCCATTATATACATATCTAATTCGCCTTGTTTGTCCAGCAAAACAAAGTCGTTGTAACGTTGTATTTGCGCAACATCACGAACGTTGTGGGATATCTTCGAGTTCACTATTGCAAATCCCCGTCACGGAAAAAGCTGAGTGAATTGCAAACCGTCCAACTGATAGAAGGCGGTCAACAACTCTATCATCCATCAATATGTTGATGAGGAAGCAATTACCGATCAGCAACCTGACTTGGTCGTGTTGCAGTCAAGGTCAGGGGTGCGACGCGGAACCATTGGATACCCGAGCAAGTTTCGTCGGTGCAAACTAAACACTCGGCCTGTAGCCCAGTTTTAAATTCCAGTGGCGGGGCATGAACTGCATTGTTCGAGGCCATTGTATAAGGAGATTACCATGCCAGATGTAAGGGAGCTAGCGGGAAATATGCCCCAAAAATGCAGGCTCAGCTGAATATGTCAGTGCGAGTAGACAAGTTCCGCCGCGAGCAATGTTGTCTGCAACCAATAGTAACATGCAATCACGAATGAGAGAGACAAGTCCCTATCAGGCTCCCCATCAACGGAGAGCAGAGACAGAGATGGCCATCGACGGGCTGCCACGTCAGAAGCAGCCACCATTTAGCTTGTCATGGTCCGCTGTGGCTGATTAGAAAGGAACCTGTTATTCTTGCCTATGTATCAGTCTCCTGAGAAACTTGCAGATAAACTCTCTGATAGGCCATGACGATACTTGGCTCTCCAGCGGACAACGCACATATGATTGCCATCACAACATATCACTGGATGAGCATGAACGAGCTAAAAGACAGGGGAGGCTGAGATGGATGTGCACATGGTCATTGGACGATCTTGAATCAAAGTGCGGATAAGGCGACCTCAGACAGACCGGTGTCTGACATCTGCCGGGGGCCTGATCGAGCAGTTCAAATCATTCGTGAGTGTTGTGTGATTTCGAGTGTGTGTTGTATTTCCATGCGGTCATGAAACATTCAGTTCCAAGGGGAAAAAGCCTTGTGTGGGCATCGTGGGATTTCACTTGGTTACAGGCAGCAGCTGCGGGGTGGCTATTGGAGACACCCCTGTCAGCATGGGCTCGGACCCAACCCGGGCGCATTGGATGGATAGTTCGCTTGGGTTTGCGGATATGTATTGGAGAATATACGCTTGTCTCGTCATTTCATCGATTTGCACGATCACATTCATGTTGTTTTTTTCGGTGTAAAGTAGACTTTTGGCCGGTTTACCCTCCGGGCTTATGGTTGGCTTGGAGGGAGTTGGCTTAACCCCGGGTCATCGAACTCAATTAGATTGCCCCTCATGTGCGTGTGCTTGATTGCCTCTATTTTCATAAGAGGCTGGTGCGAGGTCCACATATGTATCGCGTTCAGCTGAGATAGGCCGCGATCTTTGAGGACATCCCGCCCACGGTGGAACTCTTCGGCAGACCCGATCGTCCGTCGTATGTCGTACATTGTACGTAGGCGACCTGGATGATATTATTTGCCAAGCCGGTAGCCCCTAATTGCGCCTCTTGGAATCGCGTGCAGCTGCGCCGGAGATGGCGAGGTCATAGACAGAGCTTAGTGAACTTACGTATATGAAAGTTCACGATTGGCTCCGATCTGGCTTTCCATCGCACCTTCCCCATTGGACACTACTTGGTGAGACCCGTGGACCGAGGGGCACCTACCTAAGTAGGCCAGTGTTTTGATTTGCCTCGGATAACAAAAATACTAGATCGGCAATATAAACATCATCGCAATCCGAAATGATGAACACGAGAGTTTGCTGGGATTCGCGCCAAGATGGAAAGCAAATTGTCTCGTTACCAAAGGGTGACCGAGCGGCCAACCCCATGTCTGTCTGCTCCAGGCCCACTGTAGAATAATCAGCTCTCCCCTCATTTGGACTCATATTATTGACAGAGACATGAAGTTGACTAGAGACTTTGAACCCGGGTTGTACATCTTTCTGCAAACTTTGGTAGATTTCGCTATAAAGAGAACGCGCAATACTCCGTACAGGCAGCGAGAAGTGTGGGACGCGAACCTGGCAATGACGGCATAGACTAGACTATGCCGAGTACCACTAAGGTACAAGGCACATGGCTCATATGTGTAATTCGTATTCTTGTGCCTACAGGATGATGCCCAGGAGCTTTATAGTTCTCTGGGGTTGGGTTCAAGGTTCACAGCTTGAAGTTACTGTGTAAAGTACTCCGTACAAGGCAGCAAATAATGTACCTAGGTATAGCTTGGTTAATCAATTTATCCTCTTTCGGACAGGCTGGTACGGTTGTATGTATGTACAGTAACCGGTACATTAAAATTGTAAAGCTTCAAAGTGGGCCTTTTTTCTTTCCTTACACACTACGGGTATTCCCCACTCTGTTTTATGCCCTAAGCCCCGTCAGGTTTAGCGACGTAATGAACAGCCTTGCAGCTCCGATTACCTTGTCGAAAATGGAGAAATCTTGCGAGTATAAGGATCAAATAGAGTGGGCCAATTGATCCAATTGATTCAGTTTAGGAGAATTCAAAAGTTCCCTGTTCTTGTCTATGAAGATGGCCAGATGATGACAGTGTGGCGACTCCAAATTGAAAGAAACCTAAAGAAAAGGGGCGGGGAATAGGGGAGTGAAAAAAAAACAGCCTAACCATGGTTTGAGCCTCCGCTGCCCCAGTCAAGCTGTACCTAGGTATGTTGAACCATTCCCAAAAGGGCTATATTGTCTCGAATCTCAGACCCGCGTTGATACTTAGCATCGTCCTTATTCGCGGTGGAGCTTCATAAAGATTCTGCACGCGAGTCTGACCGATTCATGAAGACTTGAGAAATGTGATATGAAGGCAGATACTAGAGTAATGCGCGGATAACTACTCCGTATCCTGCGGAGAGACTTTCCAATGTTCGGAAATTAGGTGTACGTAAATCCGAGGCACTGCCCAGCTGCTTTATACTAGCTGCATGGCTTGCAGGCATTTCATATGAACTTCATGCACCTCGTCAACAACCCAAGAAACTTCTGCAGCTTAAGGATCAAGAAGAAGAAAAGAAACCTATGTAGTGGAGCTGTTTCCACGAAACACAGAGACACCTTCGTGACATTTATATAACTCCCCGCAGAGGGGCCACGAAACATAAATTTTTCACCGGTCAAGAACGCAGGTTTTTTGCCCGATACACCGAAATAAATATGTACATGTATGTTAAAGGTAGGGTTTCGCCACGATATACAACCCCGAAGAGTCTCATATGGGAATCAATGTATTTGAATATCTAGACAGCAATTCAGGTTCAATGCCAAAAAAATTAGCCTAGGAGGTATATAAGCAGTACTTAAGGGTCTAAGATTGTCTATGTTGTAGGGAATACATTAAAGCCCTCCGGACCACTCTTTCGTTAAGAAACATATCCGAGAACAGAGCCACAAATTTCAACCTCTTTGTGCGTAATGTATCCGCGTTATCCACAATTCCGCCACTTCATATTTTTTTCACATACAACATAGAGACGGTGGAGCGGAAAACTATTAAACATGGCGGGGCGGAAGAGAACTTGAACTTTTTCAGGACATACGTACAACCTCCCTTAGAACCATCCATATTGCAACACCGGAGAACAGGGAAGAAAAAGCGGTGGGTATTGGATCTTTTCCGATAGTACCATGGTTGGTATACCCCGGCACGGCCCTGGGATAACCGTTGTTGGATGTGGAGTTTTGGTTACGTCCGCGGGTAATGTGTGCTCGGAATTCGCCATGGTTCCATGGTTTAGAAGGCGTGTGATGTCGGAGAGCATTACCCAGGTAATTGGAGTGGAATCATTCGGATCCATCTGCGAGGCGAGAAAAAAAGACCGGATCCCACACTTGGGTTTTTTATCGGGTTCTTTGCTAGGTTTTTTCTGTGGGCTGTATTATAGGTGTTTTGTATAGACTATTGCAAGTCTCGGGTGGTCTGCAAATACTCTGTATGGAGTACGGAAGTATGGAATGTATCAATATGGGATATCAAGTATAAATTAGATAGTGCTCGTATTGTGTGCATAGAACCTACGTAGTATCCACTTGGAAATGACTAACCAATATATCAATCACTACATGTAGTGATAAAACTTGATGTAGAACATGTAGTTGGTATATGATATCTAATATCCAGTCCACACCGCTCTCTAACAAACGAGCAATGTCTTCGAAGGACTGATCTACCGGAAATCCCAGAGAATGGGTCTCCTGGACTAATGAACTCCCTATGTAGTATGGAATACAATATGTATGTTGTATAGTGGAAGGTTCTTCCCCTTACAGAACGAAATATACACGTCGCAGGCTGCAAGCGAAATAAGCAACGTGGAGGGAAACCGAAGGGTTATATTACTGTCTCCTGGTTTGCAGAGTCATGAGCAAGGGAAACCACATCTATAT